TACTAACTTATAATAATATTTAACTTTTAAAATTGGGGACACTATACTGTATTCAGCCTAATTAAATTAAACAGACATGGCTTGGTATAAACATGTTTTCTTTTTTTTTCCAGTTCTGTGTAAGTTTAAATAAATTAAACGGACATGACTCGGTGAAAAAAAAACCTATTTCCAGCACTATGTAAGTTTTAAATTTAATTAAGATATTGAACTTACTAAGATCAAAGTAAAAAAAAGAAATTAGGTGAATTAAACTACTAACTTATAATAATATTCAACTTTAAAATTGAGGCACTATACTGTATTCAACTTAAATAAATTAAGCAGACATGGCTTGGTATAAATATGTATTTCCAGTTCTGTGTAAGTTTAAATAAATCAAACAGACATGACTTGGTGTAAAAACGTATTTCCAGCGCTGTGTAAGCTTAAAATAAATTAAGATATTGTAGGTGAATTAAACTACTAACTTATAAATTGAGACACTACACCGTATTCAGCTTAAATAAATTAAACTAATGTTTCTAGTTCTACGTAAGTATAAATTAAAAACTTATTAAGATCAAAGTAAAAAAAACAAAATGCATGTGATTTAAACTAAAGAACTATCATTTTATCTACTAATAAATATAGGTATAGTTTGAATGAGTTAGTTTACTAATATTGTACTTACCAAAAAAGATTAGATGACGATCAATGGGTTTGAGTAAGTTTTTACTGTTGAAACGTTTGGACACAAACTGATAATAATGTGCACGATTTCTTAGGGTTTTATACACAAATTTTAACCTCTACTAACCCCGCACTCAATTTACCTCCTAGCCGAATTAAGTGTGTTAAGATTAATTGTTTGGAAAATAGGTTATACAGATGTGTGTACTAAACACATTCAACACCTATGTCAACACATGATTGTCATGAGTAATTATTGTAATTATCGTAATTATCGTAATTATCGTAATTATCGTGTCTGGGTCATACTTTGTTTAATATACAACATATATATATATATATAGAAGGGAGATACTTTTTTCACTTATTAGGTATAAAACACACCTGAAACTGATATTAAAAAATCACTTCAGCTCCAGTCTTTCAGAAGTCAAGCCACACGAAGAACATAACAAAATGAGTACTTACATCTCTAGTGATGACGAATCAATTGTTTCTGTAAGTAATAATTTTTTTTAAATATTTTTATTTATTTACTAACAATTTTAAAAAAAATAATAATTTTAGGAAAGTCTATTAAAAAAAATCAAAAAATCGAGGAAAACAAAAACAGAGTGTAGCGAAGATGACTCATCTAATACGACATTTGTGAGTAAAAAAATGTCTTTATACGTCTATTTCAAATTTATTTCTAAGATTCTATTTTTATAATATATTTTAGGAACAGCCGCCGAAGAAATCAAAAAAGATGGATACTGCTGTTAGCTCACAGAAAAAAAACTCAAAAAAAAACCACAGTATATACTTGTTTTCAATTTATGTAAATTATTTAAAAGGTTGTTCCGTTTTAAGGACATGTTTTTTTTTTAGTTTTCGAGCTTGTTGGAGAAAGCTGAAAAAGAAGCAATCCCGAACCGTCAGTTTTGTTACGATCGATCCATTTTAAAAGCCGATAGCGAATCACAACAAGCCAAATACGACATTTCTATCGAAACGCCAAACGCTAAAAAATATATTGTTATTGAGCAGTTTGATATCGATAAAATATCAAAAGTTTCGCCATCACTAAGGTAAATTATTATATATTATTATGTTATTTCCATTTTCCTTTATTCTAATACATTTTTTTCTAGATGGAAACACGTACAATATTCGGCTAAACTTTGTTTGACGGACACTTTAAAAAAGGATGCAAAAATACAACAACTCATCAAGCAGCTTTTTGATGAGGTAGCAGCTCGATTTATGTCCGACGAGACTAGAATTGTTAAGACTTATTCGGATAAATAGATATTTTATGTATTTTGTTATTTTTATGGTAAATATAATGTGGTGATAGTAATTGTTGTATTATTTATTATACACTCTAGTATAAATGGTTCAAAATAAAAAAAAATTATTATATTCATAAAAAAAACGTTTTTTAAATAGATATATATGTTTGTATTTTCAATTATATAAGCGTGTTAATAATGTTAAGAGGTATAAATAAGGTTTTTATAACCAAAAATCTATATTTCATCAGCGGTGGTTTTACATAATTTATTTTTGTTTCGCGATGAACAATAGGCGATGAGCGATGATTTCTACTGTTTTTTTTTTGTAAACACGTTCTGACATGAAATTTTGACGTTGTATAACTCGTATGTTAATTTATTGACATACTTTTCGATTTTTTTTTTCGCAAACACGTTCTGACATGAAATTTTGACGTTATAAAACTCGTATGAAGGTTATTGCCCTTCTCTTCAATTAAAATACAGCTATTAAAAGTTCCTGCATAATAAGATTTATTATCTGTGCATAATTAATCTGTAATTCATGGACGAAAAGCGCCGTCTCATCTGTTGTATAATACTGGAAATTAAAATTTGTTATGTAAGCCTGGATAAAGTCTATTCGACGACATTCGCTTGAGAAGTTATTTACATCATTTAATATAGACGTGTATATATCGGTGAAACACTTCTGATATAATGGTAGCTTGTTGAGCCTTTCTTTCAAGTGAGCTTGAATACATGGGTTTAACATTTGAAGTGTTAAAATGTTAATTCTTGTCAATTTCAATCGCTGATCCTCTCCATTACGTAAAATGACTGAATCGGTTTTCGGATTTGTTGTACAATAAAAATTCTCATTTATATGTAAACGTTTTGCGCTAACTGGTATAGTGTTTAAAATATTATTTAGAGTCTGCAATTGCATAAGGCTTTGCCAATTTTGTTCAGAAAGAACTAATTTATCTCGACAGTTTTTATAGTCTAAATAAATCACAATTGATAATGTTTTATCTAAAATGAATCCAATCGTAATCGAACGTTTGGGGTCGATACAGAATGAATTCTTAGATAGGATATTACTCATTTTTTTAAATATTAGAAAAAATAGTAGCACAAGTTTAAACGTCTGCACTATATCACTTTAAGCACAGTACTCACAACTTTTGAAACAATGTGGGGGTATTTATAAATAATCCTCTCCTATCCCCTCCCTCTAGTATTACTTCTTCGTAAAGATTATAATGACTAAAACTAAAAACAAAAAAAGTGTTTAAAAAAATGCAAAAAGTAAGCATAGTCATGCGGTTGGATGAGGTGTTGTTTAGTTAAGAAACTTACCACCACTACCTGAAATTAAAGATTAGTTAAGATTTACCTGCTTTAAAAAACCCTACGCCTAACCCAACTGCATGACTATGCTTACGATATATTTTAGTAATTATACTAGTATTTAAGAACTATCAGGTGGATAGTTGATAGGTGGATACAAATCAACTTTTTTTAGACTATAGAGGTGAATGTCTCTTTGATCATAAGTGGGCTGTGAATGCCCATTGGTTCTAAGTGGGCTGTGAATGCCCATTGGTTATAAGTGGGCTGTGAATGCCCATTGGTAAAAAGGTTGCTGTGAATGCCCATTGGTTAAAAGATTGCTGTGAATGCCCTTATTACTACTACTATAGTCATTGGTAAAATGACGAGTATATTGCCGAGATTTTTGTTTTGTAACTTAGCGATCCCCCACTCGTCAACCATACGTATTTTATACAGGCGTGCGGGACTGTCACAGTGTTGCGCACCGATTGGTGTGTGCATTTTGCATAACTGTTTTTACTTTAGGAGCAATAAATACGTTTACGACATAATAGTTCTTTACCGAAAAATATTGTTGAAGAATTTTTTTTTAATAGCACACCGATATTTTAAAAAAACAATTTACAACGGTTAAGTTTTAAAAAAATAAAAAATATTATTTTTATGAAATGGCATGTGGTGCGCTTGCACCTGCGCACCTACGCATGAGCCGCCACTGATGCCACGACCTATGCCTTGAAAATGTTATGAAGAATTTTAATATTTTTTCAAAACTTAAACGAAGTGTTTTTAGGAACAGTACGTTTGAAATAGAATGAGTTGTTTTCCACCAAACATATATGCAGGTGTAGAGGCCCCTTAATGGATTGCTACCCTAAATGCACAAGAAAAATGGTAATAATCACTGTGTTCTCTAGACGGTCTCAGATGATAATCTCAGTCCTTATCTGATACCGCCTTGGCCAGGTGCTACCATTTTTCTTGTACCATTCTGCATTCGGGAATTCCCTAATATAAATTCTATCAGTCAATTGTACTTTAAGCTATTAATTAATGTAACAAACTAACATAAAAAAACATGCCCTAGATTAAAAAATGTTAACATGAGAAAAATTATTTTTGCTTTTCAGGCGAACAATAGTGTACTGACATAAATTAATACTTCCAATTAACATTTTACACTCACTGTTTATCTACGAGTATACTTGTGATAATAAAATGCTATTTTATAATTATTTAATAGTTATTTCATTAATATTTGAGCTGATACATTTTTGTAATACTGACATTCAGCGGGCGGTGACGTAATCTCTAAGGTGCAAAAATGTGCACCTTCTAAAAGCGTGATTAAAATATAATGTAGGCATTTATTTATAATTGGTAAACTATACATTTTTTAAAACAATTAATTTTTTTAATACATACGGGATTTTTAACCGGGGGGGGGGGGGATTTTCAATTGCTGCTTGTTCATTTCCTTGCATCTGCTAATATTAAAAAAAAATCACGCACCTATGCTTGGCATATACCTTTTCCTGAATTTAAGGCTTAGTTCAATTCGTTTAATAAACTGAAAAAAAATTCTTTAGTTTTTATTGATCTGGGTGTAGTTAAAAGTTGGTTTCCTTATATGTTTCCATACTATAAAATTTAAATAAACTTTCTAAATGTGGTAAAACAAAAAATTACAGATACCGTTGTTTTAAAATAACATTTAAACATTTATTTCTTCAGGTTTGCTTAGCAACGCGAAATTCCGATACTCATTTGATTATGCTTACATCATTAAAACCGTTTTCTGATACACATTAATATAATGCCGTACAATGATTCCATGTTTGTGCCCCCGTGGCACGTATGGTCCGTCGATTTTATAAATAATGAAGAATGGGACCAATATAAAGATGTACGTATCAAATCGTTCGGTTTATATTTAACATATAATATATGATATATTATAAAATGTTTTTTTTTAATCGTATTATATTTGTTTATAATGGTCTAATTTTCAAATTTTTCAAACCCTTTTCGACAATAGTATGAAGTGTTCACTCACCCTAGTGGCCATGAACGTTTACCCATCGAAATCTCCAGAAAGGTCAAAGATTGGAAAAGACCAAACGAATTGTTTGGCACCGATGGATTGGTTATTCTTCCTGAGGGTGACGTTAGCAACGTACAGAATTTGTTGACCGTCAATAAGTCGTTAATGAACGTCAAAGTAATTAAAACTATCTGCTAGTTAACTCCAAAAATTATTTTATGTTCACAATTCTTAATTATCATTGATACCATTAATCGATTGACCTTCCGTTTTACTACAATATTCTTAGTTGTCATTACGTACTCATATTTTGCAGTCATAGTAAAAAATGAAATACTAACTTCGATATAATTATTACACTTTACATAAAAAAACACATTTCCGATTAAAAGATAGGATTATTCCATAAACAACTCAAAGTTTCTTCACCGTTAAATATAAATGATGACTATATGTGTCATAATATGTGCAGAAAAATTTATGACTGAAAACAGATTGATTAGAAACGCAGTATCCGCCCACGGCCATTCCTATGATGTAATAAAAATTTAATTTTCAAGCAGTTTAATGTACATGCCACGTCACGCAAAACATCTCTCACATTTTTTAGTCACCACCAGAATTTACATTAAAAACTTTTTAGGAAGAAAAATAATAACAAGTGTATGATACAATCATTTTGTTTTTATTTGTATACAATATGTATAAGATGCTATCAATGAATGCATTACACAGGCCTTTAACTAAATTGTTGTAGAAAATTGAACCCTTATATCATTATTATAATATTAAAATTATTATTCTTATATTATAATTCCAGTTATTTCCATTATTACTGTTTCTGTATACCTGCATTACTCTCAATCATAACCATTAACCTTAACATGATAACATAACTAATAGAAAAATTATGACTTTTATTATACTATGTATGTTGTACGCGCACACTGTTTCGATTTTCGCTTTAGAGGCGGTATTTGAGCAAACTATCAAAGGGAATGTTGGACAACACATAAAATACTGTATTAAAATAAAGTATTTAATTAAAATAATTATGGTAAAAAAATAGTCTATTATAATACCTGATTGTCATTTTAATAGTAGAGATAATTGTAGATATGGAAATATGATATAATTACTAGTATGTAATTGTTAGTATTATATTACTAGTACAGAAATATGTCAAGGGAGGTAATCACTACAGCGCCCTCTCTAAAATACTCCACTACCTACACCACTGTAGTATAAAATAATAAAATATAATATATTTCGTAAGTAGACGTTTGTAGTTTTTACTTTACAGCTAACAAAAAAATAAGAAAAGCATCGATCCAGTCAAAAAAGTTGAAATAATGCATATATTTTACGTAAAATAATAATAATTTTTATTATTATAGAATATTATACCTAATATTGTTATTTAAAATATTTTTTTAATTTATAAAACGCTGTGCCGGAATGGTGCTATTTAATAATATTATTTCGGGCTATGTTTTTAGCGATGTTACCAAACGTTAATGTTCTATTAATTATCATATTATTGTTAGAACTAATATTATGATGTTCTGTTATAATTTACATATCAATTAACACAGATGCTTTGCAAATCTGTTCGACTACATATTTATAATGTATGTTATAGTCCCACTTTAATCTACCTAAGTCGAATTTTTAGACCTATTTTAAGCGGGGTTGGTAAAAAATAAATTTGAACGAACACAGATAAATCATAACGAACATTGTTCGCGTACATGCTGGCACACAAGTTCGCCAACACCGGGCAACATTTCATCGAACAAGTGCGCGCACAATGTTTCCTTTTAAGCTTTAATATTTTGTTGGAAAACTGTGACGCCCGCTTATTTCGCACATTATTTAACAGGCCTACAGATGGATGTTGTATCACATCATCATATACATTCGTCGGTTTAAAAACAAATGGCCAATACCGTGGCATCCGATCAGTAATATATTTTCACGTTGCAAAGTCACCGCGGCTTGGAACAGAAGGCCAAGACCTGTGTTTAATCCGTTCGGGAAATATTGGCTAAAGCTGTATTACATGGTGAAGGGATTGTGACACATGACGCGCCGCTCAGTGCGTTGTTAATTTTCATATTACACCCATAGGGAGAGTTTCGTTTGATATGCGTAAGCGATCATCTACCTGTCGGCGAAAACGGTCAGGTTCTATTGCCACTGTGCGAAAACAACAAAGTACTATGGTTACCGTTGCTCGTCAAAGGTCTCCTGAGGATTTATGCCCTGGCTGGTGAATTCCACCAGTTCAACACCATCACTTGCTTGACCGGGTGGACATGTGTTCACGAGGACTGCCGGTAAGTGTTAGTGAGCGCTTATAATGTAAGCTGCATTATTTCTGTTGTTCCAAAAGGGGTATTTCTAAAGATGACGTTTGGTCGGCAATTATGGCGCACAGTCCACGGCCGTTAAGTGAGCTTGCGAAGACCGTTACCAAGTCCGAAAGCACAACGAGAAAATCAAAACCTGTCAAAGTGCATTATGAAGAATGTTACACCGTCGACAACAAAGGCGAAAAGTGTTTCCGAGGCAATGACGTCTCTGCTTACCGGACCAATCCTCCCAACTCTATATTCACCTCCATTATACTGTCGCCAAATCCTTTCAATGTAAATAATAATAATAGATGTTATGTGTTAATGGTAGTTCCAGTAGACCCTATTCGGGTTGTCACTATAAGCATTTAAAAACCTTCCAATTTTTAATTACATTTTTAATGTCTTATGCCATCGTGTCGTTCACGTTTATGGTCAAGGATGGTGTCGTCAACCCCTGTTAAATTCCATTTCTGGTTTCCTTCTGCTTACAGGAAGAAGGAAAAAGAGATCCGCCACTGAATCGGTCAGAGTACGACCAGCCCGCGCTTGTAAATTTTACGGAAATGAAAAAAAACGATGTTATACCCTCGTGGAAGGCAATTCGTTGGACCGATTGGGCATTAGAAAATAAGGTCGTGAAACATCACGGTTCGAACAGTATACTTAATCTAATCTCTATAATACTTTTTTCTACCACTTTTAAAACACAGTTTTGGTTGGATTGACCTGTGAACACAACAGCATATATTATACCACTAACATTAGTGTCTTTTATTCGGGTCTCGCCCGCATTGATTGCTCAACACAAAATATAACACTACAAACTTATTATCCCAACCCATATCACAATCAATCGACCAAAACTTGCATTGTAACTTCAACTGGATTACCTAGTTAAGTTAAGCTTAAAATCATAAGGTATTTAATTATTTTAGTATTATAGTAGTTCTAATTTTTTTCCTTATCTTAGTGAATAGAATTAAATGTATTGATTTAAGGAATGTATTTACTGAAAACTTCGTTATTCTTTGACAATTTCTAATAAGAGTAGAATATATTTATTATTTGTAAAATAAAATTCCTCTCTTACCAGTGTAACGGGTACATTGGCGCCCCGTTATCACTCGCACAAATGTACTTATAGAGCAGTATATCATAAGACAACTAGGTAGGGACGGCGGATATACGCGTAAATGCAACAATGTAATAATGCCAAGTAACCATAGTCACCTAAAGTAACAAGTTACAATATCTTGCCATATCTATGGGCCGCGATTATCTATTGATATTTAGTTACTTAAATTATATATTTTGTATTATTCGTGTGGGTCCGCTCAATTCAGCTTCGACCCTTGGACCAGGAGAACACTTCAGGGACAGGAGAGTGTAATATACATTATACGTATAGTATAGCTATTCGTTTGCTTTGCTTAAGAAAAACACACACTGTGAATTACTTAGTGTGTACAGAGATTAGCCACCTGTACCGCCAGGATCCACTGAGCTTAATCTTCTGAAGGCCACTTTTGTCTAGCCTAGATGTCTAGCCAAGTAGATACGTTACACCAGTTTGTTAATTTTCTTATTATAATAATAGAAGTCCACGAGTTTCGAAGAACAATTAATATGGTTACACCTTGCTCGCTTATACTGGAAAAATCATGCCAGCTGAAAGATGTATTGCAGGGATATGAAGTCACCACAGAAAACAATCGATATGAAATGGATTTCACATATTTAGAACAGTTTGTCGTGTAAAACAACACATTATGTTTGAATCTAATTTTTTTTTTAACTTTGATTTCTATAACAAATAGATCTATGGAAATTTACTTTAAAAAAAATCAAGCGTTTCCATTCGTGGAGTCCATCGTTTTTCCTGCGTTCAAAAACACTGAACATTGCGTCTACATGCGTATCCTTTAAAATTATATTTTAAAGTAAGGGTGAAATGGGACAGTTATCCGGATTTCTGAAGTCTCTGGATTTGATGGATTATCCGTGTTTTCGAATTTAGTTACTACACCTAGGTTTAGAACGTTTATTTAAAACAATCATTATTTGGATAAAAACAAAATAAGCCAGATTTCTAAAATCCGGATATTCTCATCATTAGCGATACTATAATTTAAGTCAGTTTTAACATGTAATCGATAAATCAATCTGATGAAGTAAGTACACAACTATACAACATAATTAAAGTCTTTGAATGGCCGTAGACATGTTATTATGTAGTATTTAACGTGTCGGTTAGAGATACCTTCTTATTATTTTATTAGACTTATATTGTGATGTCCATAAATCTAAATTTAGTTTCAAAAACTATATATCTAAGTAACCACACTAATATTTTGTGCGTTCGAATTTCGCTCTTTAACTCGCATGGTAACACATAGAACTTGAATCACTTTTTTGCGAATCAGCTCTTTTCACATTGTCAACTTGTATTAACTATGTCCTCGAAGATGGAACTATGGCTAGAGATTTGCGGTCATCAAATTATCACAACCAGATAGAAAATCCATTTATCGTGGTAGAACATTTTTACTGGCCTACAACGCATCTATCAAAACCCACGTTGTACATATGTTTCAAAAGTTCTTCTAAAGATATAATCAAATTTAAACCCGGGTATATATTACTTTAAAGATTATAATTAAATTAAATTTACCAATCGAAGAAGAATTGCAGGATAAACGTGCTGAAAATCTGGGGTGAGCTGCCTGATCATTATTCATTGATCGTCGAATCAACTGTACCGTTCACTATTATCCAAACAGAAGAAGGAGCCTACGAAAGCCTTACGGTCCAACCCAAAACTCTAAAGACGTTTATCTGTAAGTTCTAAAGTTCGTTGTTATTGCTTACCTAAAATTTGCACCGTCGCTGGTTCGAATACGACCACGAGCGGTTTCTCTCACTGGGTAGGATAACCTATCTAGGAGAAGAGACTGTCATCCCCCCTCTAAGCCCGCCGACTGGACTAGCTCCGAATAAGGCCTTCTCTCGGTCACATACGCCATATGCAAAAAAAGAAAGAAAAAACTTAAAACTGTCGTTAATAACGGCACTGTACATTTTACGGTACTTTTTATCGAGTTAACATTTATGCAAATATCAAGATTCAAGATGTTGGAATTCTAAAAAAACATTAACACGAGCTGCTATTGAAAATCTAAACTTTCTAATGAGGTGTTAGCAAGCGTGGAAAATGTTTTTAAATCATAATATTGAATAAAAACAAAATATTAAATTGTTGTTATTTCGGGAGTTCTCTAAAACGTAGAAAAATGTCTACATAATCCGCATTGTTTCCTTTAGCCATGTTAATTGGAGAAAAACGCAAGACGTTACAAACTCCTAATTACGCTTGTATACTGTAAAAGTCTCACAAATATTGTTGACATTTATCTATAACTGTATTACAGCTAACATACAAAAAACGTTTAACACCTTGGCTAATGCCGAATCCCATACCGGCGAACACGGTCAGGCCCTGATGCAGTTTTATTCGTCTTTTTTGTCAAAATCTGCAAGTCTCAAGGGCGCCTCAGAGAAAGCTGAAATCTGCACGGCCATCCGTAAAGTACGTGTAGTTAAGCGAAACTATAGTTAAAATGTATTTAATATAAATTAGAAATTAGCAATGAGTTTTGATTGACTTAATTATGAACTGGCTGTAATACCCATAGCATGTGCTCGAAGCCGTGTTGAAGTGGACGGAAAAAAATTGTCTAAGTGACTTTACGGCACATGTGGCGGTGGAAGTGTTCAAAGAATTTCAAGAAATGTTTCAGGAGAGGAATTTTGGAAGCGAGCGAATCACTCAACTTTTGAATACCATCAGAAAAGAACGAGAAGAACGAGAAGAACTTCAGCGCAACGTGCCTTTAAGCGCACAGCCGAGTAAACGATCAAGAGGGGAAGACAAGTCTAGCATAGGAGCGAAAAAATCTCAAGCCTCCAAGAGCAAATCCGCGGTCAAAAGTTCACCCGGTTCACCCGGGTTGGTATAAGAACACCTTTTTATCTGTCGGTTTTTGTACTTATGTATCTGTTGTTTTAGGAACACTTTCAAAACAATCGTCGTCCAAGGCTTGCATGAGAATATGTTAGATATTATCAGGTCTGTCGCTGCTGGCTTATAATTACTCACTACTAGTTTCTCTGTACACTCGCCGGGTTGATTTCTTATAGTGACGTCTTGGGACAGATAGGGGCCGACGAATATCCGTTCGAGATGCATCAGCTAAAACGAACCGTATTAATTACCCAAGAAGTGGACGTCGGTAAAGTTTCCGTCAACAGTTTGCTGTTGGTGGTATTCAAATTTGAACTGAACGCGCACTCGCTGACGGTGAGTGTTTTTCAATGTGACGTGTGTTAGGTTGGATTAGAAAATCATTTACCAGTGTCACAAACCGTTTGACCTGTCCAGGAACCCGGTCTGACATTGATATTGGTTTCGAACAAGGACGGCACGAGCAACGACTGTAGTGTGAATTTGGATTTGTTCGAAAACGGCAAACTTATACAGCCGGTCAACCAAAACGGCAACATGTATTCGGTTTGCAGAGCCGACAATGGGTACACGCTTATAGGATGGGTGTCCAAAGGAAATGGCGAGTGTTACCAGAGCGGATACAGGGTGTCGTTTTTTGGAAGGGTCGACGAAGTGCTGCATACGTGCAGCGCGCGTAAAGTCGAATTAATCCATCATTGCGCTGGGACTAATTGCGAGAAGACAGAGTTGGCCAGTCAACATGTTGTAGATGTATTTCTCGATCTCAATCCTGAAAACGTGTTGGCCAGGTGAATAGCAATAAACTCCAGCAATAATTAACGAGGATACCCCCCTACTATTTGTAACGATGCTTAAGTAGTGAACAATTCTCGTTAGCATTTAATGTGTTTCATGACACACGCGTGATATAATCGAACAGAGTGTTCCGAGCAGTTCAATTTAACAACCTATCGTCTTTGTATCGCGACTTAATTTCACTTTCCCGTTATCTTAGCTACGACACTCATTAATTATTTGATTTACTTAATTATTTCGTGTTTATTTGATTTTCGGCCACCGCGTATTTGAATTTACATTTAGATTAACAGCAGAGGACCTCCGTAAGATCCAGGTAGAAGTATAAACGTGAAATAATATTATTTAACTGCATTTCTTTATTATTATGTCTTAATAATAAGGATATTTACTGTGTCTGTTGACATGCACCGAAGTTCTTTAGTGAATTTTAACTTTTTAACTAATTGCTTTTATTTTTTTATTTTGTACTACTAGTTCATATTATTTATTTTTCAATTCACGGCTATTATTTATTTGGAGCAGATAGAAACGGAGGTTTTCTTATTTTAATCCAATTATATACTATGTTCCATTATTTATATAGACATCTTCTCTAAAACTATGACATTTTTATTATATCGTTATTACTTATTACCATATTGACCTCGTCATTATACAATTTTTTTTTATTTATCAAATATTTTAACAATCTAGTCTTGTTATATTACTTATAATTTTCAATACATCTCCATCTTATTTCTTGTTTTGCTTCCAATTCGATTCTCTATGACTCTCATAGAATTAGCTCTCCTAAAAAGAAAAATAACATAAGTTAAAGTTTCTTTCTTCTTCGTGTTGAAAACGATAACTAGATTCAAACATTTTCTTTTCTGTTCTGAGTGAAATATACTTTCAGAGCGTAATCACTGTCTCGTTTGACTTTTCGCGAATTTAACTTGCTAAGAGATACATTTTATCTCCATTAAACCTAGAAAATCAGCTTCTGTAAGTCAATATTATTAAAATAGTCGGACCACCAAACGCTGGTAGTCATTGCATGGCCACATACACATAATTAATCACTTTGACGACTGACGTTGTTAATTGCGAGTTTTGCTAACAAGGGAAGTCACAGTGATGGCGTGACGGATTTTCTTCAAATTGCGAATGAATGTTATTTATGAGAAATAAAAAGACCCTTATTCGAGCGTTTGTGCCAATGCGTCCTAATTCCAGAGATAATCAACTTTGAAATTTACATATTTTTTCGGTATATCTTAAATAGACCTATTTTACAATCGCCGGTAAAAACTAAATGTGGTGCAGTCGAGCATGATCGGTACTCGGAGCGCGCAGTACCGGGTTCAACTCTGGCTACCGCCGCAGCACTTTTTGCATTTTTTTACAACTTTTTTTTAACTTTTATGGTAATTTATATTACAAGAAGTCTAAAAACTTATAAAATATTTATATTTTATTACTACAGAATACATTTTTACCCTTAAAAGTACTCGATAACCTATATTCCATTCGGTTTTTCGTCATTTATTATACCTCTCGTACTGATGATTGAATAACAATGTTATTGCATTGTATAGTGCAATTTACTGTAAGTTGTAGACATTTTCTATTTCTATTGGTTATTACATAGTCGTAATTTCAATGAGATAAATCATCAACATTAATACACTACATTGCTAGTATAAGATTGTATAATTAATTAATCAATAACTATTATATGAACTTTCAGGTTAATAAATGACGAAAACAATGGATGTTATCAAGTACTTTTAGGGTAAAATGTATTCTAGTATAAATATATATATAAGTTTTTAGTCTTGTAATATAAATTACCAGTTAAGTTGTATATGCATCGTACCATTGAACTACTCTCCGAGTACCGATCATGCTATGCACCACAATAGTCATATATTTAAGATATACCTAAATTCAAGTTGATTATCTCTGAATTACGCATTGCACAACGCTCGTTATTTCTATAAATTCATTGCATTTGAATCCGTGCCATCACTGTGCTAAGTGTCATCCTGTTACAATGCGGTATTAAACTGTTTAACATCACATGTATCTATAGGGTATAAAGATATAATAATATCTACTGTCTATATGTTTATGGAACATGGGATGTATAAAATTTAAATTATTCAATTTGCATAATCCACTTGTGTTTTGTTTAAGAGCATCATTGAATATCGAAAACGCTGGCTCTTTTTCAATTTATTGTCGGTTAAGTGACGTTAACACAACTTTAGAACTCCGAGTGATGATAAAAAACAAAAATTATTCAATCAGAGCATTTGCTCGTAATATAGGTGATACTGTATTGTTACCGTTCGTATATCTAGATCCAATTGTTATTCTAGGTAAGCAAAAAGAAACACAATAATACAAGTATTCAAGAAACTGTTTATTTATAGAAAAATATTAATTTTTAAATGTAATCATTTTCCCAATGACTTAACACTTAAAAAAATACGTTTTCATTAAAATCGTCATAATTTCAAAACTTATAAATATTGGTTTAATTTACAAGAATATTCTTATAGCTGACACTAACTTTCAATGTGCTCTACTACACATTTCATCTTGTTTATTTTTATTGCTAGACAAACTTAATTAAATTAGATTTAAAATACATTTTTAGAAGTAGAAAAATTCGTTGTAACTAACAAAAGTACTGAGAAATAAATACAAATGTATAAAAGTATTTTAAAAGTACGAGTGTCAGCTTTTAGAATTAAATATTCATGATGGGCTTTTAAACTATAAGTAATGTGTATAAACACATGTCAGGCTTATTCATTGTCAGGGTAAATCTTTTTATAAATTCATTATATAGTAACGTTTTTAAGTTAACGTTCTAATGATCTCAGATAATACCGAAGAGGACTCGTTTGAAAAAGTATCGTTTGTCTTAGAAGTCGTTTTAATCGAGCCAAACAATGACATCGTTCAAGGTGCAAGTCCGAAACCCGTACTCGGAGACTGGTCTATAATCTGCGTTTACGACCAAAAGGTACTAATGTTATATTATACAATATACCTAATAGTTATGTACTATATTAATAACATGTATTTTTGTTAAATCATTTTAACAATCATATTTATTTAACTTCAAATATTATTCGCATATCTGTTTTAACATTACCATTTTAGAACTACACGAACCAATCCACCCAGTTTTTCTAACCCACATATCTCTGTTTCCTCTTAAGATAAGCTTTTGAAATTTAAAACATAGATTAAGCTCTAATAGTTTAGGATACTGTAAAAAATTGAACCCTTAATATTAAGCCTTTTTAAAAGAGGAGTATTTCAAAGTTTTAATATTTGTTATTGACTCACTGATTTTCAAAATGATAAAACACTTTCCGTATAGGTAGAACGTGAAATTTGCCACAAAGGTAGGTCTTTTAATAAAGGGAAAAATCTGAAAGTTGCAATTTTCTCAAAATTAATGCCGCTTTAGGGAGTGTAGAATTTGTAAATAACACTAGGCATTAATTTTTGTTGAGATTAATTGTAGTGGAACACAAAAGAAATAACAAACAAACACTTTGAGTAATAATAGAGTTAATATTATAGACACAAGTTAAACCAATAATAACAATACAATATAGATATATGTATAAGTCAGTAGTAACAAGCACATTAACAAAATAGTAGCTGTGGAACGAGTGTGTCCCCTTGTCCACATACAAAGGTATTTATATCATAAATCTAGGTTAAATCAATTCATACAAAATACTTTCTAAGATTTCACATACAATAGTGTCTTCCTCGACATACTAAACTAATTACATTAAAACTACCTTAGAATATTAATTACATTTCAACACTCTCCCTTAATTAATATTTTCCTTAATTAACTATTGTCCCAACACACTTGAAACCTGTTGTGGATATTCATAGCTGATCTGATCATCTCGAATCGTTCCTTTGGCAATGGTTTGGTGAAGATATCTGCCAACTGATCCTTTGTCTCCTTGTATTGAAGTTGAAACACTCCATCTTCATACTTCTCACGAATGAAGTGATGTCTGACATCAATATGTTTAGTTCGTTTGTGAAACTCTGCATTCTTAACTAAACGAATAGCACTTTGATTATCTATATATAATATTGGTTGAATACATTCATTATTAGTGATTTCCTGTAATAAACGTTTAAACCAAATGATCCCTTTTACTGATTCTGCCGCAGAAATGTATTCAGCCTCACATGAACTTAAACTTACTGTTGATTGCCTTTGAGATTGCCATGCTATTGTAGAAGAACCTAGCATAAAAAGGTTGCCTGACGTTGACCTTCTTGTCTGGACATCTCCAGCAAAATCTGCATCTGTATAGACACTAAAATCTGAGTTATTTTCAGTTTTATAGTACAATCCAAAATCAATCGTTTTGTTTATGTAACGAATAATTCGTTTTACTATAATCCAGTGAGCTACCGTTGGATTGGATAAATATCTACTCACGTAGCTGACAGCATAACTCAAGTCCGGTCTGGTTACTTGTGATAAGAATAATAAACATCCGACCGCTTGTCGATATGGCACATCCTTACCAATTGGTTTTGATTCTGTTTCTAATGCCGTTGCCCTGTCGAATGGAATCGCCAACTCTTTTGCGTCTTGCATATTAAAACGTCTAACTATGTTAAAAGCATAATTTGATTGATGAATTATTAACGATCCATCGTTCAATTTTCTTATTTGTATCCCAAGAAAATAATCTAAATCATTACTTTTGACCTCAAATTCCTGTTGTAAAGTTGATAATAAAGATTGAATTTTAGATGAACTATTTGACATAACTAATCCGTCATCTACATATATACCCAATATTATCTTATCATTACCGTCATGATTTATAAATACACAAGGGTCTGCTGTGCTTTGTGTTAGATTAAAGCGCAATAAAAATTCTGTAAATTTTTGATTCCAACATCGTGAACTTTGTTTCAATCCATAAAGACTCTTGTTTAATTTACATACTCGGCCTGATTTATCATCATACCCCACTGGTTGAGACATGTAAATTAGTTCCTCAAGAACCCCATTCAAAAATGCTGTCTTTATGTCAAATTGTTTTAATTTCAATTTTTCTTTGGCTGCAACTGCTAAAAGTGCCCTAATAGACTCAAAACGAACTACAGGTGAGAATGTCTCATTATAATCTATACCGTATTGCTGTCTCGATCCATTTATTACTAGCCTAGCTTTATAACGTTCAACATCTCCGTTGCTCGCATATTTAACTTTGTATACCCAAGAATTATTTAAAATATTTTTGTCTGTCGGTCTGTCTACTAACTGCCAAGTATTATTCACAGCTAGTGAATTTAACTCGTCATTCATGGCTTCTGTCCATTCATGACTGTTTTCACCATTGATCGCATCATAATAATTTATTGGTTCCATACCTTTCGCTGTACATGCGGCGTATCTGTCAGGTTTTCGTAGTTGACCCCGGTCACGTAAGTCGTAACGTGATTCTTCACGTTCTGACTCGTCCGCTACTGGTCGTTGTGAAGTATCGTGTTGAATATCTAAATCACTTTCATATAATGATACATCAACAGTATTGTGACATTCGTTTTTAAATATGACATCCCTAGAATCAATTATAATTCGTTTTTGTTCTAAATATACACGATATCCTTTCTTGTCAATTGAGTACCCTACGAAAATACCTGATTCACTTCTAGGATCCAATTTTTGACGTTTCTCTTTGGGAATATGTGTGTACACTTTTGTCCCAAATACTCTCAGATGTTTTATATCTGGCATTTTATTATAAAATAATTCATATGGACACTTACCTTCCACAGAACTTTTACCAGTTAGATTTATCGTGTATACTGCCGTATTAACTGCTTCAGCCCAAAATGATAAATCCATTTTATTAGCATGAATCATTGTTCTAGCAGAATCCATAATTGTTCTGTTTTCTCTCTCGATTTTTCCATTTTGAGGAGAAGAGTAAATTTGAGTCTTCCGATGTTGTATCCCAAATGTCTGAAATATTCTAGTTACATCATCATTTAAAAATTCAGTACCATTATCTGTCTGAATCGCCTTTATCTTAAAACCTGAACCTGTTTTAAAACTTTTTATAAATAACTTAAGTTTATTTTTCACTTCACTTTTATGTTTCAAAAAATATACCGTACGAAATCTACAGTAATCGTCTTTACATAGTAGAAAATACCTTGACCCGCCTTTCGATTTCTTTTGGATCGGCCCGCACAGGTCTGCATAAATTAAATCACCTATATTTTGTGAAATATTTGTCCTGGTTTTAAATGACTTTCTCGATTGTTTGCCAATTATACAGTCATCGCATTGAAAAGTGTCGTCTTTGTCTGGTACCTGTATATTATGTTTTAACAAACACGTTCTTACATACCCGATATTTTGATGAGCTAATCTTTTATGCCAAACACGTATTGAATCAGCCATTACTGCTGTTGCATTCGCTTCAATATTTTTAATTGAATCATTTGTATTGCCCGTCAATGTCACGTCTGTAGAAACCTGCAATACTTTTATTTTTAAATGATATAAACCGTTGTTGCGTTTACCTTCGCAAACAACTTTGTTATTCTTCAAGAAAACGCACATTTTACTGTCAGACTTCATTATTAATCCCTTATCTAGTGCTGCACCACAACTAAATAAATTAAACTTTAAGTCTTTTACATACAACACATTTGATAAATAATTTTTGTACGTTTTGTTTTTAACTTGACAAGATATATTAATTCTCCCAGAACCTTCTGCCAACAAAACTGATCCATCCCCGATTGTTACTTTTGCTGGTGAATCAAATTGTTTGTACTCACAAAACCATTCCATATGTCCTGTCATATGGTCAGTTGCTCCACTGTCGAGAAACCATTGATCCTCTTCTTTTTCCGTGAATAATAATTCACTATAGAAGGCTTGCCCTGTTGAACTTGAATTTGAAGAATCGGATTTCGCACCCTCTTGATCCTTTTTGTACTTTCTGCAGTCCCTTTTAAAATGACCTGGTTTTTGACAATAAAAACAGGGACCTACCTTTTTAGTACCAGTATTTTGTTTACTGAATTTTTGTTCAACTGACTTCTCACCACTCGGCTTCTTAGAAAATTTCTTTTGAAACTTTCTGGCAGTCAAAGCATTATTTTCTTCTGCTTCAACCCCTGAACTAACCTGTTGCATTCTGGATTCTTCTATAAGTAACCTAGATGTTAGAACATTTAGATTTTTACTCGCCTCAGGAACACTATCCCAAGCGCTGTAAAAATGTTTGTAAGTCGATGGTAGAGTCATTAAAATTTTGGTTATTAACATCCCTTCCGAGATATTTTCTCCTAGTGAGTTGAGTTGGTTCCGTAAATTTTGAAGTTTACTTATGTGGGTCGATATATCATCAGAGGAATTTTTACTATAACTAAAAAATTTATTTTGTAGTAAATGTACACTTGCCTCTGTTTTTTGCTCGTAGACACTCAGCAACTTATTCCACATTTTATTGGCGGTTTGACAATTAATTAAACATTGTAACGGTCCATCATCCACTGACGTTACAATTATCTTTTGGCATTTTCCGTCTGCCCTTCGCCATGCAGATATTTCATTAGCACACCTCGCCCGTGCTTGTTCTTCTGTTTCAGTGGATGTTTTGACTAACCTTGGTTTTGGTATTTCTCCGCTAAGTATTCCTTCCAGGTCAAAACTGTTCACAATGACCCTTATTTGGAATTTCCATAACAGCCATCCTTCTGCACTGGACAACTTAGTAATCTTGACCGAATCTTCCATGACGTCGATCGAACTGTACAATTGTCTGTACCAAGAAATATTACCTTTAGTCAGTAAGTATGTATTGGTCAGTATTCGATGTTTGACTTTTGAGTATCGTGGTCTGGGCCAATAACCTGTTGAGATTAATTGTAGTGGAACACAAAAGAAATAACAAACAAACACTTTGAGTAATAATAGAGTTAATATTATAGACACAAGTTAAACCAATAATAACAATACAATATAGATATATGTATAAGTCAGTAGTAACAAGCACATTAACAAAATAGTAGCTGTGGAACGAGTGTGTCCCCTTGTCCACATACAAAGGTATTTATATCATAAATCTAGGTTAAATCAATTCATACAAAATACTTTCTAAGATTTCACACACAATAGTGTCTTCCTCGACATACTAAACTAATTACATTAAAACTACCTTAGAATATTAATTACATTTCAACAATTTTCCAAAAGGGACAGTTCGATGTTCCTTTCTTTGGCCATTTTGAAAACGTTTAAAATAAAAAAAGACTAACGTACCCAAATGGAGGACATCACTTTGGAATGCGATTTTCCAAGATGGAGAAAAGTATCTAAGCATACATTACCATATATAGGTACAATTTTTCAAATACAGCGGTTTGTCGTAAGAAATGAAAGTATTGGCACTTTAAATATTTATTATTTATTTGGTTTTAATGGCAACAACCAGATATGAATATTTCTATTTAGGGATATTAGATTTAAAAAAAAAACTCGTTAAATACGGAACGTATGTGATCCATAGTTCTTAAAACTAATGTTTTAGTTCAGACGTCTTTAATTGAGATCACCTGACGGCTGACTTTATTTGAAACAACATTTATTTAGTAGTCAACTAACTAAAATCTGTCTGTCGTGTTAACCATATTTTTTTTTCGATCACATTTTGCGTTATTCTTCTCCTGGCACATTAAATACCAAATCACTAGGACTTCCATTTGTACGACGTAGGTTAGGTTCTTTAAAATCTGTCCATTACTAAAGAAAACAATTATGGATTTCTAAGTCGACTCTTAATAACCGTACTCACACCGCGATTGGTCATCTATATGTTTTAAAACCAATGCTAATACTGAGTGCCTACAACAGCCGACATTCTCGCCGAAATAAGAGATTGATAATCTCTAATGTAACAGTCATTCGTTCAAAGTCTAACCACCTTGTAAATATAGCTTACAGGTGTCAATCTTCAGGTGAAACAAATTGAAGAGTACACGTACATCAGTTCAATACCGCAACAAGCAATCTTCAAATCTCAACAACCTCCGGACTCAAACCGATATTATAAATCACAGAGACGTAAATACATCATACAAATATATTTCCGGGAGGGAAATCTAGATCAAAACACTAACTATTCAATTAAATGTAAAAAAAAAAATAGATAGAAACAGAAGGAAATAAATTATCAGAAACTGAAAAGAGGAAAAAATAAGTAAAACATAGCCGAGATCAAGAAGAAAGGGGAATAATATAGTATAAAACAATATCTAATATTATGATATGATGACAAAGCATGTCCTTATTGCATAACTATCAGTATTTATATATAGATGCATAGAATAGGTAATAATATTCATATTTGGAGACGACCGAGGGGCGGTATAGAGCGGCCCACGACGATGACCCAATATATCAGATATCAGTATTAGATGTTACGAGGAATAAAGATGCTATTGATAAAGATGTTGTTTAAAAACTTTTCCGAAATAACCCTAATAGCACTGGAAAGTTAGGCAGATAAAGGATAGTTGCTGTTATCTTCCCGGTATTAAACGGGATGCTAATAGGGCACTCCGCGAATGATGAATGGACATAGTTTGGAAGTAACAAAATATTGTGGCCTATTGTCATCCAATTAAATGGCGACAATATAACCGAAAGGACCTATCCATTATCTGCCTAACTTTCTGGCACTATAGGGAAAGAGAAAATCAAAGTTCTAAATTATTTCATGTCAGATAAGGGTGGAACTTTCAAAATTCAAAATTTACAAATAAACGATAGATTTTACTGTTTTTAAGTCTTAATAATATAATAAATAACCTTGAAGATGTTTTTTTTAATTATGTATTATTAAGTCCGATTATGAAAGACATACTTTTTTGATTAAAAAAAAATATATTTTTTTTTGCTAAGTAGTTAAATGTTAATTATTTTATGCGAAACATTGATATTTTCACTTATGAATTAAACTTTTTTTAATTCAGTAGTTTGTAAATAAACGATGCAATTCCTAAAGAGGGCACTAGTTTTTTTAATTGTAGTTTATTTTTTTGACATAGGCCCCGCTACGCGTATAGGTGCAAGCAGATGCATCAGTTGATTTGTTCTTTTATCGATCCCACCTAAATGTACTGCAGAACTTAATTGTTTTATTATAAATTAGCTCGGTCTAGGAAAAGCCAATATTGGATTCATACCTACTACTTATCTCTAAAAACACATGTATAGGTACTAACTAGTTTTTATTCTTAATAGAAGTCGACTTTCCGGAAGACAATGAAACATCAGCTACACTCAGTGTTGCGGGACTAAATCACAATGATATATTAAAATGTATGCTGATCGAACAGGTAATATACTATGAGGTACTTACCATTTATTTTCCGCAAGGTTTTTTTATTAGGTAGGCAACATTAAGTTATAAGAATTATAGTGGTTGTGACGTTGGTCAATATGTTCTGTGTTATTCTTGGCCAACGCCACAACCACTATAACTCTAAATACTAATTATATATACATGTGTATGGGTGTTTCTAATAGGAAACCATGACACGTCTAATACAATATCAGGATTCGAAGAATTTCCAAACGGAAGAAGAACAGGAGTCGATTCTGGCGGAAACCACGTATAGGCAAAACGTTAACGAAGACCTGACAAAAAAAATCCAAGACCTCAATGAAGAAAACCGAAAAGTATTCATCCTTATCAAGTTGCATAGTTCAAATGGTTTTTTACGTGAAATATATTTTTATTTTTCTAGAAAGTCAACGACGACGTGCTCACCCGAGTGGCAAAATTGTTCAACATAAAACCAAAATCGCAAATAAACATTAAACAGTCACGCGTTAGAAGAGTTAAAATATAAGCACGACCGTGCTTTATCTTAAAAACAGTTTTTCACTTTTTTTGTTTATTATATTTGGTACTGTTGTCCATAACCATTTAGAATTAAAAAAATTATTATACAAAAAAAAAAAAGACATTTTTTCAACAACTTAGCCGGAACTCCTAACCTTTTACTACCAAGTATTCTAAACCCCCCACTGCTCCAATACTGAAAAATAATTATTTAATTAAATAATATTTTTAAAAATAACATTGTAGGGGAGGTAGGAGGATGTTAATAAGTTTCCTACTTCCATAAAATAACACAAATTACTAATAGTGTAGGATAATGAAAACGCTCCCCTCACATACCTAGTTATATAGATTTTTAACATATAGGTACCTTAATTAAAGGTTAGGCGTTAAGCAATCAATTTGTTTTAAAAAATATATATTTCTGTGCATAAGCTGCACCGCTGTTATAACAGCTTTTATTAAAACTATTTTTGAACAAATGGTCTACAGGAGTTTGATGTGTTGCAGAATACAAGACTACTAACATAAACACATTTTTTTATGCTAGCCGAGTTAGGTACCTGGGTATTATTAGTTTATCCTAAAAATATGGATTTACACTTATACTAGGTACCAATTGGTTGTTTTTGATTATGTTTACGTGTAATCCCTTCCTATTATCACTAATAGAGTTGCTAGGAGTAACTTTATCCACCCCTCCCATTTTTTAAAATCTTTATTTGTGTAGGTAACAAGTATAGTTGAAATGGTTCAGGCGTCCCAGAGTTATGCTGGAATATGTATACAAACATGCTTTTTATTTGTTTAGATTGATGACTTACTTTTTAGTATCTTGTATTTAAAACAATGGCACAATTAGAGATGTTAAGCCCTCTCCCCTGACTCCTGTATAAGAGGGCATTAGATCATTCCGTGAGATGTTAAATATTATCCCCCGTGATTCATTATTCATTGGTAGTATACGCTCTTTCAACAATTAAAGGCACCAATTATCATACCGTGGTTAGTTGAAAAAAATTTTAGGAGTAGAAAGGCAACAATATAACATTATTTTTAAAAAAAACTTGCAAATGTGTAAAAAAAAAAACATGGTTATGTGGAAGCAATACATATTTTTGAAAATCCTTGATTACAAAACATATTAAATAATATTGGGTATTATATTAGGTACTTTGAATTCATTCGTTGAACAAAAATGCCCAATTGTAAATTACAAACATGTTTTAGGAAAAAATTATTTTTAAGTATATTACATTACTTAATATTAGGTATTCAAAATGTCCCAAATTACCCAGTGTTCATTAAAATACTTGTTTGATTAACGGTACTTAATTTTTTTTTTTTTAAACAAAAATAATTTCCTTTATTACCAACCAATTCAGTTATTGTAGGTATCCCAGACAACCATGTTAACATAAATATAAATTCTATCTAAGGTGTAACTATAAATACACCTTGGTTCTGACTTCTGTTATATAATATGCTATTTGTATAGTGTGTAATTAAATAATCTAAGCTAGTTTACAATTTAAAATAGAACTGGAATGTTTATCAATGGTGTGTTATCAAATAATAGATTTTTTTACCCCACATTACTTGTAAAATAAAACTTAAGACCATTAGTAAACATAATATGTCAATTTTATTGTAATGCTGGCGTACCTATTCGTTTTAACATATTGTTGGTGTCAAACACACACAGATAAAACACGGAATAGTATTCCGTGAATACTATAATTTTAAAGCAACCTATTTAGATAACAAATTGCAATGGATACCAAAAAATATCGTCAATTCAAATGCATTGCTGACAAAATAACAGGCGTGGTCTATCCATTTACGAATATTTTATAATTTATTATACTTCACACAATTGAATTAAACATTATAAATTAATAATATAGGATTTTTAGGAATTTAAACATAGGTGATTTAAAATAAGTTGTCACTGTTCAAACCTGTAAGGAGCAATTATTGTACAAATTTTACCAGTAATGGAATATGCTTTTATTTGTATTGTGTCAGTATTTAAAACATTACAACGCACATTATGTTTAATATAGGTACATCATATATTAAACAAATACTAATAATTAACTGTTCTTGCTTAGCTAATGATGGTTATTCGTATTATATAACATTAATATTCAATGTTTTATATTTTACATGATAAACACCTACATAAGTTTGAATTAAATATAAAAGGCAAGTTTTTTTATAGCTACAGTGGTTTAAGTTACTAGACACGTGAATTTTTTTTATAGCACACATAATTATGTAAAGAATTTTCTTCAACCAGTTTTAGTTCATGAAAATTATAAAAAAAAAAAAAAACACTACAATACAAAAATATGTAAAACATGGGTTGATTATCTCATAAACATAATTTTAAACTAAACTCTAGTTTTTGAAGAAAGTTCAAGTAATACAACGAAAACTACTTCAATAATTGTGCCCTCAATTTTTTTTTTATAAACGTTGCATTCTTTTTTATTCATATTAGTAACGATAATGATTATGCTAATAAAAAAATGATGTATATAGTCAATAAAAATGTCTTGGCCGACAGTGATGAGTAATATGAATACATTCTGAATTTAGTGTATTACGAAATATACAAAACTAGTTCTAAAAAGCACATTACTGAATACGTAGCAATAATTTTTCTTGTTAACAAATAAAAATAATAACTCACTATTTGTTTTATATTTATGTATGATAATAAAACTTTGAAATAAAATCAAAAAGAAGATTTTGAGTAGAGATCAGATTATTGTAGGTCGTTGTAGTTGACTATATGGAAGGAAACCATTTTACCCGCGAATGACGAAAAAGTTTTTCCAACTCCTGGAGCGCTTCGTTTAGTTACTGAAAACAAAAAGGCACAAAAATTAAATTAAATAATACAATTTTATCGAATTGTTCCCTCACAAAAAATGCATAGTAATAATTATCTATTTTTTAAATATAAAAATAAAAAAATAATTCCATTAAACATCTTAACATTGTTATTTGAACTACAAATCAGTGCATTATAAGCTAATAAAATGTTGAAAGCATTAAGAAAACTATTGCTTGTATCAAATTTAACACGAGCCCAAAAATATTGTAACATCATTACTTACATGACTCTTTTTTGAAGATTTATTGGACCCTGATTTTGGACAATAGACTAATAAATTAGTTATAAAAACTTGTTCACAATACATTTTATAAGTAACCATTATTTGATTACATTTTAGAAATTGTTATTTTGGCATAAGTATATTATTGGGAATACAAATTGTAGAAAGAAAACTAAAAAAACCTGTAGTTTCCTAAATTAAATTTTTTCGAATAAAAATAATAATTTCGCTAATAAAGTATAGATAGAAATAGAAGACCATGGAACTAAAATACTATAAGTACTTTCACAGAACATCTATTTTTGCTACTAACTACATATTGTTATGTAAAATGCTATATGGCAACATAAAACAAAACTTGTACATGAAAATATTTTAAATCAAGAGCCCGGATAGAGTTTTGGGCAAAAAGTATATTTTACTCGATAACTAAAAAAATTGTTTTCAAAATTAAATTTTCAGAACTGCTCATTTAATTTACACATTAAAAAAAAAGTTTTGTTGACAATTATTCTTTTGAGAACAAATTTAATCTATTTAGTTTCTAATAAGTACTGAAACTTGAAAATCTAAAATGAAAAAAAATATTTAAGATGATTGTCCAAATTTAGAACACATTTCATTTCGGAAATTATTTTTAGATAGTAAATACAATGTTACTTTTAGAACTATATCCGGCTTTTTGCTTTAATAATGACACACACACAAGCAAATATTTAGGACATTTTAGTAAAGACTTAAAATACATGTAAATTGCATACAAATAATAAGACTATTATAGCCACTAAAAAACGAAATTAGTTTAAATAATTTATTTAACCTATAAAATCAAAATTATCACACATCACAAAATATAATATAATATTTTAAACATGTATTTTTTAATTTAAAACCCTTGAATACAATTTTAAAATAGACTCACTAACTAAAATTATGTTATAAACTTAAATTTTCATGCAATCTGGTCGTCAACTAAAATAAAATAAGATTTAGTATACATGCTTGATTAAACAACAGCTATTAGCTAATAAAAGGCAAAGAATGAATATCACTTATAATATGGTTACAACAACATTACTATGACACATTATTATTTTTTAAATTACACACCTCCAGACACAATTTTTTCCAATTTATATACTGGATATGTAGCACAGTCCTTGGCCACATATGATCCATACTCCGACACATCTTTAATGGCTGGTGTGATAACACGCATGTTATGCATCATATTTTTGGTGTCTACTGAATAGTAACCTAAAAAATATATAAATATAGTTAATTTTAAATTTTACTATGAAAACGTGCTGCTGAGCACATTAAATTTCTATGCTTTTTCACTGCAACTTTGTAGCTATTTCCAGACTTAAGTCCAACTATTATTTGAGAATATAACAATGAGCTCTTCCTTAAAAATGAGGAGTTTTATGCTATATACATATACTTTCTATTAAGCTGTCCTTTATCTTAAAAATGTATAACCTAACCATTTTTTGTTATAATATAAGCCAGTTGATTTTACGAATTTGACGTTCTAGAGGCACATGAAAAGAAAGCTTGTGATGACGTCCATTTACAAAGTAACAAGAAATCCGAAACTTTGTAAGCAAAACAACTTTTTGAATAGGCAAAACTAAGTTTAAAAAATGATATCTTTTTTGGTTTAATTATTTATTATGATGCCGCAACAGAATTCTTAAAATCAAGATTTAAAAAACATATACCAATTAAAGGATCTCTTTCAATTTACTCTGTATCTATGAGAGAACCCTCGAGATCAAAACATTTTTAGTAAATTCAAATATAAAAGCTATATAATATTATTATTATATTATACAATATATAGAATTTAGAATTTTATAAGTTAACCTAAGAAATAATAACAACAACAAAGTTGGCCTTTAAGATTTGCAGATGAGTTTTAGAGATAGACAGTGTCCTGACCATTGTTTGGGGAAAATTTGTTGTATTTTATTCTTGTGACTGTGAAGACTTTCATCAAATAGAAAAATGATAGCATTTAAATGTTATTGTGAAACATAATTTTTTATTTCTTTAATGTTTATCTACAATAGAAGGCATTTATTTGAAGGAAAAAAATGAACACTACCAAGAACACATTTCTTTGGCATTAATTTTTATTTCATTTTTTTGAGTGAATGTTCTAAACACTGATCTACTCCACAAGACAGTGTTTATTAGTATGTAAATATAGATGAGAGATGAAAGCTTACCGCTTGACATTTTAAACAACAAATCGTACAATGATGTAGGTGGCAATACTGAAGTGCGGTTCAATGGCATAACAAAACAACGTTTTCCTTCAACATCAACGATTCCAGTAACGTTCTGTGAACAAATTTTTTTTTTTAGAAGTTGAAACTATTTTGGCAACTAAAAATACATTAAATAAACTACAAGATAACTTACAGCACTGAAATCATGAATGAAACGTGCAGAGTTGGCGTTTGGTAATGCAGGGGCAATTTTTTCATAGCTATCATCTTTCAAATCCAACTCGAAATCTTCCTTAAACTCAGAAATTACATCATCAGCACCCATTAATTGATGACTGTTTAATCTTTCCATGTTCAATGCAAAGTTCTGTAAAAAAAATTATTAAATTGTTTATTAGATTGGCTGACAAATCTTATTACCGACGCAAGACCTTTAGGTCAAAAAAGAAATGTACTATACCAAGTAATCTCTTTTCTTAGATTCCCCGACTCCTTATTACACAACTAAGGTAATTATGTCAACGTGGAAGTACTTTTTTATAACACCAAGACAGAAAGAAATATTGGTGGTTACCTTCATCATTTTTAAATGTAAAACTGAATTTTTAAAGTGCAACCTCTTATTTTTATATACAGGGGGGTCGCGTTAATCCGAAAGACGCTGTAATCCGAACGGGCTTGACATTTATCGCATCACTATATTTAGACATATTTTTCCATAGACCCGCATAATAATATTAAAAAGCCAGTACAGTGAGCCGGGGCATAGCGGATTAGAAGATATCGTGGGACCAGCAATAATGTACTTAAAATTTAAGGAATCATATAGGAACCAGTGTTCAAAAAAAAAAAATTAATCAATATTTTAAATTAATATGTATGTATATTATCTTTTATTACTATTATTACTGTACGACTATTTTTTGATTTTATGACTAAAAAATGTATGTATGTACATACAAAATAAGTAAATATAAATAATTATAAATAGCAAGGAAATTTATTTTTTTTAAAGTCGTAGGTAATCCGAACAAATTGGTAATCTGAACGACCCCTTTCCCCAAACCCGTTCGGATTAACGAGACCCTACTGTATTGATACTTAATCTTTAAAAATTATTAAATATTAGTTCTACTTGTAAAAAACTAGTGTACTTTAAATAACGATAAAAAAAAAGTTGAATCAAATTAAATTTAATCTAATAATAAAAAATGAATAGCATAATTACCTCTAATTTCTTAAATTCTGATTCCATATCGTCGTTATTGAACTGGTTAATATCATAATCGTTCATTTCTTGCAAAGGAAGTTGTAGTTTGTCATTTAAAGAAATTGTACCGGTTCCATAAAATGCATCGTCCTATAAACAAAATGAAACCATACAAATTGTATTGATATTTTTAAGATTAAACAACTACATGGGACTTGTTGATTAACAGGACTACCATTATTATATTATATTACATTATTCACAAAAGGTATTAAATAGGTAATAAAAAATCAGAATACAATTTATAAAAAATAACTTAGAAATATAATAGCACTAAAAAAATTAACTTGGAGTGATTAATTAATAGAAACTATATTATTAATTATTCTTTTAGAGCATTAAAATATCACCTAAACTTGAAGGTGGTATAATTAAATAATGCATTGCTGTCTGGCAATATTTTTCATCAAATCAATAATCTGTTTGTATAATAATAATTAAAATCAATAATATTTTGAGCATGACCACACGTATTTTGGTCCACTACATTTGAGTAATGCACCCGAAAAATTAGTACTACTCAGTACCTTTTCTCCCATCCTAAACTTTAAACTTAAATAACAAAAACTAACTTAAAGAATAGTTATCCAAAACTGGTTATCACTTGGTCAAAATATTCAGTAAATTATTCTAATTTAAATAGTAATTAAAAAAAATACATTACTATTTGTTATGAAGTTGAAATAAAAATAACTTATTTGGGAGGGGGTTAAAAAATATAAGTTTGAAAAAAATTGATATCACATCATATTAAACTACAGAAAAAAAATCAATAACTGATTAAACCCTATTAAATATTGAGTGGGTCACTTTAAAATGATCACCCTGAATATGAGGGATTTAGAACCATAGTGGTGTAAGTAACATTTTCATACAAAACAAGTTTTGCAGGCATATCTTAAGAGGAAGTTATACCCCCTATTTAATAAAGAGTTAGCTACAGGGAATTTTTTTGCAAAATCTTAATTTAAAGGTTAAACTGTGATGTGTAATTATTAGTTCAGTAATTAGGACTCTTTTTTGGTAATTTATTTATTTTTCGGACTATCACAACATCCTTGAGAGCAAAAAAACTATAGAGAGTAGTGATGGGAATCCGAAAATCCGGATTTTCACAAAAAAACACTTTTTAAGCTACATAAAAAATCATAACGGTTAAATAATTTTACAATATAAAGCTGTGTACCTAAGTACACATTTTTTGATAAATATGTAAAAATAAAAGAAAACACCAAAAATCCGGAAACCGAAAGCATTTTATAGACAAAGTTAAATTTTTTTTTTTTAATTTTTATCAACAAATTTTACTTAGGTACACATCTTTATATTGTAATAGTATTTAATATTTATAAGATTTTCAAGTGGATTAAATAGGTTTTTTTTTTAAATTTATATAAAACAACTTTACTTTGTTTTTACCATTTAAAATCATCAATGAGACATATTTCCTCCTAATACAAATTTCATGATACTCCTAGAGAGCGTTCGGAGAGAATCTGGTTTTTCATATTTGAAAATATCAATAAGAAAAAAGTTACTAAGATTTAAAAAATGTATTTTTGCATTCATCATATTAACCTATGCATTGTAGATAATGCAAATGAAGTTCCTCTGGAAATCTTGTCCTGTATCTTTTTTAATATTGGTGTTTTCTCTCTAAAATCACTTTGAAGGGTATCTTTTTCTGTTTTGTGGGAAGTTTGGATGCATTTTTTTTTAATCGCTGTCAAGAATGCTAGTTTGAAAAATATATGAAGACAGAAAAAAAGATTACATAACAAAGTAAACTTGAATCTCTTTATAGAATTAAAATAAGACCATCCTGTGAAGTCGAATATTTGTCTAGCTTTTTGATCTAAATTAACCAAAATGGCTTTTACGCATAGAAAAAATTAATTTTATTAAAAAGAATACCTTGAAGCTAATATAAATTGACCTGTGAATTAATTGGCATGGTTTAAATTTATTAAAACATTTTTTTTCTCTTAAATATTGCTTATATAAAACTCCTTAAAAACATACCCCATGGAATCCCTTAAACTAAGTTTAAAATTTGTTAGGTAGACAATTTAAACACAAATCCTTAATATTTTCTTACATAGAAATTATTTTTTATAGGCAAATTTAAGTAAATAAAGCTTTAGGTTTAACTATAACCTATAAACAACTGGTAAGCAGCTGTGTTGACATAGCATGACAAATCATTTTTTCCCTACGCACGTCATACATACATTGAACAGAAATGTTACCAGAAATTACAGCATTATAAACCAACAACATTTTTTATAGTATAACTTGCAAAAATAATGTACATAATTAAAATGAAAATATAACTATAATTTCAATAGTGAAGCATATACTTAGTAGAAGTTCACACAATGAAAAAACAAATAAGGCACAACCATTTGCAAATTACTTAAATCAACAGACCATCAATTACAATAATATAAAATAAAAAATAAAATTATTACAAAAGACCAACAGAGAATTATTTGAATTTATTTTAAACCTAGTCCATATAAGGATTCCTATGAATTTTTTGTTCTTAACTATAATTTTTAAAAATACATCAAGAGTACTAAAATAACAACATAAAACTGTTACTTCTGAGTATTTTGTTAACTAGGTATAATAGTTGTAAAACTATTAAAAAAGGCATTAATTAATGTGATATACATACAATCATATTAAAAGTATGCGTATCAGAAATGAAAGTTTTATTTTTTTAACTATGTCAAATGGTAATTTTCAATCTAAATACTATTTATTATGTAAAAAACCAACTGTTGTTTGACATAGGTATACTAATTGTTAAAAAAGGGTTTGTTTAAGTTAAATACAAATAATTGTTTAACATTAAATTGCAAACAATATTAAGCAGATATCAAACAATTTTGTTTTTAAAATCTTACCTCTTCGCGGAAACTATTTCCAATAAATCTGTAAATGCATCCTCCATAGAAGATCATGAAAGCAACAAACACTGACATCATCAACATGTAGAATAGAGCCAATGGAGTTGCACGGTTGTTTACTTTGAGAACCAATAATTTTGAATTGCCTTCTTTGTTGTCTCCTTTAAATCCAGCTTCAATATCTTTCCCCTGTAAATAGGTATATTATATAATAGGATATCATTTATAAAATAGATGCAAAAATAAAAGCTGTTAACTAAAATAAGTATTTAAAATATTGTTATCCTAAAATCAATTGAGATACCTATTGGGTGTTTTTTTTAATTGTTTGATTAGCTCAATTCGATTCTTCAACACCTTTCCACCTCAAGGGCCATGTTTCTAAATGTCATCTGCTATTCGCTATGAGTTGTTAATCACAGTACAGCAAAGAAAACATTTTTTTTAAACTAGCATTCAGGGGAGGTTACAAGTGGAAAATTTTCCCACTGGTAGTTAGGTCTAAGAAGGGAGCAAAAAATTAAGAACTGTTACAGTTTAAAATATACTTGCATTTTATAATTTAATTGTATATAATTTTACACAGGTAAATGTGCAACAATACAATTTAATTTTTTTTTGGATTTCATTATGTATCAGTAGCATGTAGCGACTATAACACAATACCATGTAACTACAAAGTTGTTTAGGAGACAGAAATGAATAAATTTGTTTCCGAGTAGTAATGTAGGGGTATCACAAAACCTGTTTTTAAGCAGGAAATACTTATTAAACTGAACCAAGGTACATAACTCAACGTATAGAATAAAATTATTTTCTATTTAATATATTAAATCAAATAATCAAATATCAAATTTACGAAAAAAGCGTTAGTTACGTGGTATTACAGTTAAAGTGTATATTAATCGATATATTAATCTATACAAGTTTTTTCAAAAAGTTATAACGTGTCATATATTGAGTTGTGTATAAAATCTTTTCGTGTTTCTCTCAATATTAAAGAGGAAGGCGTACATGTTTACAACTTTTGGTCATATAAAGTACCTTTCGAATATATTTAGAATTTCTTATACAATTTGTGTGCAACCCAAAAGTTTATAACCACAATTTGTAAGTTGTACTTTTTCACTACTTACAATTTTATCATAATATTATACTCTTTTTGTATTCTGATAAAAAAAATTGTAAAACCATTTGAGTAGTAACATATTATGATAGTGGTAAAAGGGTGGAATTTCTTTTATAGTCCTTGGTAGCAAATTGCATTAATACAACTGTAGCCACGCACTATTTATATTTAAAAAAAAAATAATAATAATTTCACAGTGGTCTTTAAAGTAAACAAAAAATAATTGGCGAGTAACAATAACATTTAAGTTGAAACTGTATTAAAAGGTCAGAATATAATAAAGAAATTAATATAAACATATAATTAGCAATGAGATAAAAGTACATAATATAAGCCTTCTAGTTCTCTGTTTTAATAATATACTACTATCTATATCTATAAACAATAATTATATGTTGTGTAAAATCATAATGATTTAAATTTAACTGGATTCCAATAGATTTTTTGCCATAGTAGATTATCAAGACTCTAGTTAAAAAATAATTAAATTAAAATAATTTTCAAGCTCATTTGAACTTGTAATACTGGATAATGTAATACATTATTCACATCAATAAATTGTGCATTGGTATTCTTGTTTTTTCAGATTCAGATAAAACCTATTAGTGTTTTGTACTAAAATTATTTTTAACTGATGCATAGCTAAAAAATTAATGTTAATGATTGTTTTTTTTTTTTGTCTGAACTCACGGTATTTTCTAAACCGATAAATCAATTTCTTCACGTAGCAGCTTGACAGGGCTTTCATAATATTATGTAACACTGGATTTTTTGATAATATAACTGTATTCAATTGTTGAAAAAATGTCTTATGTAAATCATTTTTTATTTTTTTCAAACAATAATGATTTAATGTTTTTGTATTTTTTTTTAGTCATAAGCCAATATTAAATGTATTATATGTTTATACATTTAATAAGTTTTCAAAATTAAGAATAGTTTGCTGAAAATTATAACCAGTTTTGAGTCTAACATCAAAAAATCAGGTATAAAATGAGAAATTCTAAAAGCCTTGTACAGATCAAAAATCTGAAATATACTTTAATAGATCAAAAATTAAAAAAGTTCATCCCTTCCTATTCAAAATTGAGAAAACACCCAAAAATATTTTAATATTTTTAAACTTACTTCTATGGCAATTTATAACTTTTTTAAAAGTAGTTTCATTAGTTAGTTTCAATTAGTTTCAAAAAGTTTCATTAGTTAGTTTAATGGAATATTCTTTAAACAAAGTACTATTGACAAAACCATAAAAAAATTGAATACCTTTTCCCTCAGAAGTGGTAGAAATTTTTTCTTTATTTCTCTTTTTCAAGCAAAAATTTAAGACTTAAGATAGAACTAGAGTGGAACTAAAACATATACAATTTTCTTAAAAATTGTGTAACCATTTTTTTTTATAAAGTTTCCTTCATAGCCACATAAAAAAAATGGGAAAATTGCACTTTGTAAATTTCAAGGTTGCTATGTGTGAATGAATCAACAAGTATTTAAAAATATTTTCATTAGATTGTTAATTACGATATACAGTGAAAAACAGCTATTATAGAAAGACAATAAATAAACCTTAATAGTACCTTCCCAAATGCCGGCCATACATGCTACGGTCTACCGGAGAGGTCTGCCTGCACAGTTTTTCGGAGCGTGTGTATACGATACGGTGCACTCGAAAAAATTGATTTTCGATCTATCACCGGTCGCCTGTGCAGATTAAAAAACTGCACAGGTATATTCCCACACACGCTCCACCCTACCTGCGCAGGTATACCTGTGAAGGTAGACCTCTCCGGTAGACCGGCATTACACTTACTCGTACAATACAATTCTATGCACATCATGGCTTTTATTACAATGTTTAAACAATTTTTGTATTTCTACTATTTACAGATTAGCAATTGAAGAGTTTATTTAAAAGTGACAATATCACTTTTAGTTGCAATTCCTGAGACTTATGACCTCCCTACCCCTAATAAGTTTCTTCTCTGCTCTGCCAAGACCCCAATATACTGGTTTTATTTTTTATTCATCTTTCCCCTTAATAACTTAAAAAATACTTTAAAAATATACATAAATATATTATTTACTGCACCACTTAAATAATTGTTCTTAATAGTTACTTGTTTATTACAGCAATTTAACTTCTACTTTAAAGTTATTTACATACCATATACATGCCATATACACAGGATATTATTTACTATTTCGATATATTATATCATTGATTATAAATACTATAGATGACCTACCGAGACAAATTTCAGTTTCCGATGAAAATTATACTACTAGCGCCCGTCAACGTTTAGAACTTAAATTTGTCTCGGAGGGCCATCTATAATATTTATAAATAATGATTAGAAATTGTATGATTTAAATTTGGTAAAATAGCATGAGACAGCAAAGGTTTTTATAAATGTAGCATAATATAACTTAAATTATTTTTTTAAAAGAAGCCTAATACCAACAATAAGTCATTAAACAACAAATGTTCATAGAAAATATGAACTAATCATAAGCGATTCATTTTATTATGTAGTTAATATTTATATTTATGAAAGAAAACATTAAATGTTTATTCAATATAAGGATAAGAATGAAATGAAACCTTTAAAGTTGAAACCAATCAGTAATGTTTTGAGTATAATAGTGAAAACATGACTATTATATAAACAAGGTTGACATTGAGTATTGTATATAATGATGAAAAAATGTATAAAATGTTCAAACTGAAATGGGAGATCCGACAGTAGATTAACTTGACACTAAATCGAATGGTTGTACAAAATAATTGAAACCGATGACATAATTTATTAAACGATATTATAAGTTTTAAAGTAAACAATATATTATGAAAAATATTCCTATGATTATTAATTACAGAATATTCATGTATATGTCACAAGTTATGAACTAATGAATTTTAAACCGATAGCAATGTTAAGCATTTAGATAAGAGAACAAGCAGCTTACAGACAATGCCAAAGTTATCTGTTGGTCAATGTTGTTAATCAACTATTTAAATTAATATTCAATAATGGCCTAAACAGGATGTTAACAAATAGATAACTTATTAAAATGTCATTATTTAAATGCTATAGAAAAAGAAACAATGACCACGAAAACAATGGTACAAAAGAGCCAATCAACACTCTCGGAACGGTTTTATCAGTTATTTGGCAAAAGGTCACATAAACTGCAATCTATCAAAACAATACTTATTTATGAGCCAACTAAAAATGTTTGTTCAACAAAAAAAAAACATCACACAAAGATAAAAAAAGAATTTTATCGGTGCATCTTTTGTTTATACGACTGTACGGGAAATAACAAATTTTAGTACCTATGGTCTACATGAGGGCTCGGGTAGAGGTGTAAAAAAAAATCATTAAAATACCTAGGTATATTAACATAATTCAAATTATTGTACAATAAAATTTCAGCGTTCAAGGTCTGCGGGTAAGTCGAAACAGGTACAGTCATCGATGTTATTGTACTAAATTTCAAACGTTCAAAAGACGGACAAAACCAATGACTATCGAATAATATTTTCATTGTTATCGTCTCACCTGTGTCAACGGATCAATTTCGATGTTAGTCACCAACGGTACGTTATCGGCTTTCTTTTCGGTCGACGGCATCGTTATTACGGTCATCTTGAATGCTGAATTTACACGATTCGAATGTCAGACGTACGCCTCGAAAACAAATAGTCGTTTGTGTGCTGGTTAAATGGTTTTGTTAAAACAGCGCTGTGATGGCGTCCGGGCAATCGCAAAAATGTCAACTGCGTAGTGCGTAGTGTAGACTGTACTATGAAGTGGCCTGTGGCGCGGCGATGACGAGTGGCGACGGCGGTAGTGCAGAGGTTGCGTTCGTACCGATGATGTCAACAGTTAACGATAGCGCCCGACAGCGACCGATCGAATGATATATACTAAATTGAAATAGTTATATATAATATATATATACCAATGTACGTACATTTAATTTCATACGCTGTATAATAATGTTATGTGTACGCCGCGTACGTGTCTGCGAGTGTGTGCATATTCATTTGTTGTTAGCACAATATTATATTTTATTGTATTGTGTATCCATAGTACTATGGTGGTGGTGGTTGCGGGGTAACAAGTGTTAGGAAAGCCAACATCAGCTGTTCAACACTTTTTAGTGCTTATTACAGAACAACGCCGTTTTCAATGTAAACGGCAAAGCCAGCTAATTGCTGAAATGTACTATAACAAAATGCTTGTATTCAAGGACTAAGATATGTTTATCTAAGGCCATGCTTGCAAGTTGCATCACATTGTTCCGATCATATTATTATGTTGTTGGACTATGATCGATAAACCTACGGCTTGTCGACGGCCAGTGGCCACAAGTACCTATGGTATACGCAGTGTCGAGTTTGGCAGTTTGATTGCTATATTTTTAGGTGAAGAGAGGGGGGGGGAACTCCCCTTAAATAGGTTTTTTCAAAATTCTTGAAAAAATACTTAGGTACAAAACTTTTCTTACAAAAGTTGTTCCTCGTAAGCTTCCTACTTGAACATTTTTTAGTAAATGCAAAGGTTAAACCAGGAAAGCAGCCAGAAATTGACTATTTTAAAAAATTGAAAAACCTTTACGCTGTTTGTTTACATTCTCGTGTCGGAAACATTTATCTTATTTAACATTTATAAACATTTATTTATGGAAACTATCCAGAACGAAACAAAACTATGATAAAATAATAATTCCAAGAAGTGTATCGACTGCGATAATCCGTACCCATATATATAATATAGACAATATATAGGGGTGTAATTATTTTTAAGGGGGGGAAAGTCGTATAAACAGCCGTTTTCCAGAATATTTTTTTTGAAGAAATGGTAAGATTTATTAAAATGAAATAAATTACATCATGAAATTGTCAATTCATAGTATTTTATATAACATTTTCATATCAAAAAAAAAATTTGGCTTTTTGTTTTTGCGAGTTTCCAAGTTTACAACGCGCGCTGTTGGTAGATCACCTCCCGGATTTGAACATTTTTTTTTGCATTTTTATGCCAAATGTTATGAGTTTTTCCGACAAATAATGTTGTTCTATTGAGTCAAAATATCAAAACGGTTTGAAACGCACCATTAGAGTGCGCCTAAATATACTATATAGGTACACTATAGTATATAGGTAAAGTTAGACTTCAAATTTAAGTTTGAAAATTTAAGAGCACATTCTACAGATGATAAATTCATTTTCTAAGCAATAAAAAAAAATGTGAAAAATTGTGTTTTCACAATACCCTCTCCCCTTAATGTACGTCGTCTAGGATTGTAAATAATTCGATTGACGGTAAATTTCAAAAATAAATAATAATATTAATAGATTTATAATTAGGTTCGATTACCTATTATTTGTTATTGAATTATTTATCTAGGAAATCTCTTAAAACAATTTCGGATTATTTTATTTCTTTTTATTTGTTGATGGAATGCCGCCCAAAACGTTTGGTACGATAATTGATAGGTACTCAATAGTCAATACTTTTCTAAATTTTATATTTTGCTTAGACTTTACATGTACAATTTACGGTGCTGATACCCGATTGAGCCCATAGTTGTTATTGGCTGACCTTTAGACTTTTGTGTTATTTATAATGTCGCTTGCACTAAAATTTTACTAAATCTCGTATTTGTTAAGACCTAGACGTGTCGTAGTTCGTATTCGTTAAAATGACAATTAAAAAAATTAACCGAAATAATTAATATTATTAACCTTTATAATCAATTAGTATTTATAAATTTGAAGGGATGCAGGGGAAAACGATCATAATCACTGGCCAATTTTTCATTCGATTTTTTTTTCTTCTAAAATTTAGAATAAATTAATAAATTTGATTATTTTGTAATTAAAGGTATCAATAAAGTTAGTAAAAGAACAATATTATTTCATGTGCGTTATATAAATATAATCATTATATTATTATATAATATTATTATCTTATACTTAATCCCCGAGTCTTTTTTAAGTTCTGGTACTTTAAAACTGCAATACTGAAAACTTTGGGTGTATTGACTATGATCGTTTTTCCCCGCAGTCCTTCATTTGTTTTTTTTTTAGTGTTCTCTTTCAATATGATTATATTGTGTAAAAAGAAAGGTAGATAGTAACTATTTTTATTAGGTATTTTGTACGCAGGCATACACGTCAACTATAGTCTATAACTATTGAAGTACTTTATTAATTATTAGTTAATAGTTATTCTATATCATTAAAATTAAGGTAGGTAATTTAACTTATTTATTTAGTAAAAAACGGAAATGGTGCCTCACCCTTGATTAATTCTTTCGTTGGGACCTTTGTTATGTTTGCGGATTGGGCCTTTTACCCCTTAAATCCTTCTCTGCTTATACGATTTACAGTTATCAAATTATTATTTTGGCAAATATGTATTTAAATTACTTATGTTAAACAATAACAATTCTGACGATTGAAGTCTACCTGATTTTGATGAGTTTTTGTTTTGGGCTACATAGATAGACATCACTCTAACATAAAAAGAGAACCTTGACAAAATTTACATTACGTTTAACATAAATAATAATTAGCGGCCGAAAATGTATAAAACAACATTTTTCAGCCGAGTCTGCAACCACGATAGAACATTTTTATGTCTCGTTGAAGTACCGAATAAATTAAGATTAGTTGTGGAATTATAGTTTAAAAAAAATATATTACATGGAGCTTCCAGTTACAGCATAAGCCAAGGAGATTAAAAAATTATGTACAATCAAGTTTCTGGCTAAAATTGTAGTGTTTATTATCTGAGTATTATAGCGAGTATTATCTGAGATTTATTGTAGTGTTTATTATAAAAAAGACAGTTTTTCAGCCGAGTCTGCAACCACGAAAGATCATTTTCATGTCTCGTTAAAGTACCGAATAAATTTAGAGTAGTGGTGGAATTATAGATAATGATATAGTAACAAGCTAGTATAATAAAACGTCAAGTTTCTGGCTAAAATTGTAGTGTTTATTGCTGGCTTAAAACAATTCATAGAGAAATTGGGCTCTTAAACTGTTTGTGCCAGAGCTAAGACATGAAAATGTCAATAAAATATTTTGTCCGTAATTCGATTAAAACTTACATAATATTAATAATGACAGCAGCCAACAAACAGTATAAATGTATGCGTTATTTAATGTGATTAAGTACTGCAATTGTGATCTCGTCTACATTCAATTACATCGAATTAACTTTTCCTTAGACAGGGGGGAGGCTGGCACTTTTTTATTATACTATACATTTGACAAAGGTCACATAAATTGGCGCTAACAATAATTGATCACTCATCCACGGTAATAGGTCCATGGACAAAATAATAAATTAGTTTGTACTTTATTGCATTTACTATTACCGTACTAACCACTTTACAATCTATACTACTACCGGCTTTTTCCAAACAATTTTAATCAATTTTCAGGTTATTAACTTTAACTTTTGACTCTTCATAAATAATTCTAATAAGTTTATTAACGAAACTTCAATGATAGTTTTTTTGTTGTTCTATAAAATAAGTTTAAAAATTTCCAAGTATTGTAACATTATGAAATATCAAAGAAGTAATAAATACAGTTGGGACGGTGAGGTCACAGGTCTACAGAAATTATAATAACTGACAGTGATAAAATTAGATTAAAAAAACGCTTCAATGCGAATCTGGGAATAGTAGGTTTAAACCAGTACAGTCCAAACCGAACACAGTATAAAGTAACACAGTAAAAAAATGAGTAGTAAATGAGTAGGTAAATAAGGAAGGTCCACAGTTCACAGATAAAAATTAAAATATCAATAAAAGAATTGTACATTTGTACCTAATGACAATTATATGCTTAAAAATTAATTTTAGTATTGGTGTGTAGTGTTACTTTAGTATTACAGTGTATCCGCCTGTCTATACAAATATATAGTAATAGTACTCGTTCCCATATATTATCGCAAATAAGAAATAATGTAAACAAATTTTCATTATCTGTTGACTACGGTCATAGTGTAATTTTCCCCTTTTTTGGGATTTTTTCCTTGAAAAAAAAAAATTTGATTACAGATTTTTGAGAAAATTATGTATATTATATCCCCATTAAAATAATAATAATAACCCTATATCAAATTTTTACCGAAGGTAGATCTAGCTACTATTTACCTAAAACTTTGTTTGAAAAAGTGAAACAAAGTAAACATTTCTATCCCTTCTAGGAGAAAGGGTTTATGAGATTTTTTTGGTTTGTCAATGTTTATCGGTAGTACTATGTTTAAAGCATATTTTATACAAATTTGGAACTAATTTGACTATTTTTTAAAAAGTTATAACAATTTTAAGTTGAAAAATATGTAAATTGTTTTTCTCGACTTTGAAAGGGAATGTGGATGTCTATACAATTAACCACTGTAAAAACATCTAAAATCGTAGCTATAATTTAATAAAAACATTTTTATTTATTAATCATAATACATTGACAGCTTAGGCCAATAGTATACAGAATAATAATACAATTATTATACTTTTTGGGATTTTTTTAAGAAAGAAATTAGGTTTGTGGTATCTTGAGCATTGGGTCCTAGGCTATACAAATTTGTTCAGAGAGATGGAATTGATTGTAGCAGTTTTCCTATTTTTGTCAATCTGAGAGTGTGTGATTAATCGTCAGAAGAATATATTGCATGAGACACATATTGGAGGTTCTTCTTTGGTCATCCGATAAATGTGCGTTAGATGGGTGTGACCTATTCGAAGATGATTAAATGACTAATTATAGTTTTTTTTTCTGCTAAGTCCAGGGTTTTGCCATAGTCTTTTACTGTTTTTTATCCTGTTGTGTTTAGTGTTGAGATTTTGCCAGTGGAAGTGCCATTTGTTCAACGTGTGTGATTTTGTTGCGTTTTTTATGTCAGAGTATGTAGAGATATTTAGAAACGCAGAAGCCGTTAAGGAAGTGGCTTTGAGTGCTTCTTGGACTGCTTTTTCATTTCCTGGTATACCAATATGCTCAAAGATCCATATAAAGTAGATTTGTATTCCTTTCTTAACAGCTCTATAGGTTTCTTCTTGGATGAACTCGGTGATGTCCGTTGTTTTGGTATTTATTATTATTATTTATTAAATAAACGCCCGTAGGCTCAAGTACATTACAGTAAAATAAAATAACATAATGAATAACGAATTGATAAAATTGATAAACATGACATATAGAAAGAAAAAATAACTACAATTAGTACAATATAAAATAATTAAAGCAAGATAACACAATATTTTAATGAGTAACAGTGCATATATATATACATAATTAAACAAATAAATCAATATCATTACGCCTATTACATACACGAGATATCAATGGGGTTGTTGGAACCATATGATGTGTGGTGAAACGGGATTGAGAAGGTAGGGATGGACCGGGAGAGGAAAGCGGGGATATGAAAGTTAAGAAGATGTAGCAATTGGATGGCATTAAGACAACTGAGTGAATCACTTAGTAATACAAACTTTGTTAGTGTTTTCGTAGTTGTTTTGAATATATTCAATTGCTTTGTTATGGCCATCGATTCAGCTGTAAATATTCAGCGTTGAGACAGGAGTTTGTCTACAGACTACAATGGTATGATTTTTTTTATTAAATTTGCTAGTCCTACCTACTCCATTTGTGTTTTTAAAAGCATCTGTAGTAATTTATTGTATAAATGTGTTCACTGTTTGGATGTTCTTGCAAGATATCTTTGAGCAGGTTTTTATATATGGTAGGAATTGTGTTATCTTTTTTGAAATTTGCTAGAGACAGGTTAACATTGAACTGCGTGGTCCACGGGGGGAAAATGTATGGCTTTTTTTTAAAGACATTTTTAAAAGTTAAATTTTTTTTTTTTTTTAATAATTTAATGTAATTGAATATGAGGCATAACTTTAAGCAATCTGCAGACCAGTCGGGATTCGGACAAAATCCCGTAGGCTTTTTCTATATTTGTATGCAAAGGTCCAACTAATTGTAACACCTTCTAACAAATTAATTTAGTGGCGGCGCCAGGGGTAGTCCAGGGTGGGCTAGAAAGTCTCGGCCCCCTCTATGGCCCAATATAAAATTTAAATAAATTTAGTTCAGATTCATAACAATAATTTGTATGATATTTAAATAAACTATAACCCATTATTAAAAATGATCTTATGATTCACAAGAATACATACATATTGTAACATATTTTAAGTTTACTACTCAACATTTAATCTTTTAAATATTATTTTTATATTGTTTTATTAAAAAAGGGATGCATAGTGTGTGAATTTTTTGTATAAATAGTAAAATATTAAATATTTTTTGTTAATTTAAAATATGTTTAGCTATTTAGTTATGTAATACAATATGACAATTAATGGTATGCCAAATAGTATGTGATTTAGGGGAGCCCGGGGGGGGGGGTAGAGCTATCCACCACGGGTTAACCATCGAGTTTGAACTTTGGCCCTCCCTTAAAATGTTTGGCCTTAATAATTGTCCACCTAATGTAAAAGTTCTGGCGCCGCCACTAAATAAATAATTGTATTGAACATTTCTTTATAAATATAAAATTTACATTTTTTTAAATTAATTTTAATATTGATTACATTTTCTAGGGTTCAACAAACTAAATTTAATTTTATGATTTAAATTCGAATTTAAAAAAATGTTTTAAATGTGCTTGTAAAAAAAAATATTAAAAGGAATACATTTTGTGTAAGTTGGGTATGAAAGGGGATGTACCTAGCGAAGCACCCATGTACTCATAAGTAGCTTTGAGCATTTTTTATACAATTTTTATCCGCCTCTGAATCTAACGTATTTTGAGTTGCTCGTTAAACGACACTATCCTACGGGTTATTTAATTCTGTGATTGAACCATTCTATAATACAAGTACAGTCGGCCTATTATTGTATTTATTTCAATTAATCAGTCTATACGACAAATCACAAAACATTTAATACATTAATTCAGTGACCAATAATATCCGTGCCTCCCTAACAAAATTGATGACGTATCAATGCTAATAATAGGCTCTCATTTTATTATGTGTCCCCTATTCGTTGATCACTGCACCCATATTGCCTATAACAAAGGCCAATTATTTGTCTGTGGAACCGCAGAATATATTAAATTTAGTATATTCTATTCTATTCATTTAGTCTATTCTGTGGTATAAGTGTAGAACCAGGTCCAAAAGTTCCAAATCATATTATGATTTTATAGTCTTGATAATACTGTGAACAAATAATTTACGTTATAAAATATAAATACTAGATTAGAAAGTAGTAAAAAATGAGCCAGATTGGAATGTTTTTGAGACATAAGTCCAATAGCCCTCTATTTTCAAATAAAAAAAAAATCGTGCTATTTTGAGCTAAATCTAGAAATGATATGATAGTATTTTTAGGATTTGTTAAATACATCTAGGATATGAGTAAGAATAATGAGCATTATTTTAACACAAAGCAAAAAATGTTTCAAAAATCACCAATTTTGTTAATTGATCACCAGCTTAAAAACATTATCATGTTAAATACTTAAACTCAACATAATGTGTCTAAAAATTATAACTACCTTAAGGATAACATCCATTTTACTAACATTGATTTATAAAATATAACCAGATTTTATTGTTCATAAGAACAGATTGTCAGAGATCATAATTACCCATCTTAAACTCAAACATCAACGTAGTGACTACTGTGGGGTAGCTTAGGATGGTCTGTGCTGCCACTGCAATTTTCAAAATAGGTTGAGCCCCCTCAAAAAAAAATATCACCTTGGGTGTAATCGATTTTTTTGGCTCATTTTCTGGCATTAGTATGTGGTAGCGCCGGTCATTAGCTAGGCTGTCACTGTGGATGAATTCCATGTAAAATACATTTTTTATAAAGTTATATCAGTTTTTCTGAGATGTACTGTAATATCTTAAGGTAAAGCAATTTGTTATTAGCATTAGCAATTTTAATGCGTTGCGAAATATCCACTTTCTTACCCCCTGCCCCTATACCATTAACTACTACCTCCTAAATTCGAAACTAATGATAAATTTGAATTCAATGATCTGAAAAACATCTATATTGATATATAACATGACATCTTTGTATAAATTGAAAAAAAAAACATACTATCCCCCTAAATTAGGGAAATTTTAATTTTAATTGAATTAGGCATATTCAAAACTGATGATAATTTTGGATCAAGTGACCTAAAAATAGATAGAACCGTGTATTGTAAGATTTTATAAACTAAATTTTAAGAGGTATTAATTAAGGCAAACTAATTTCATATTCCGACCACTGTGTGCCGGTACGCGGCCTGACGGACTTAGCGGTACTGAGGGATGCGGTCGCCACCCAGCGGGAACAGATGTAATTAGCATCCGCCACCGGCTGGGGTCACGATGCGACGGCGTCATGACTCCGTGGCTGGCGGCAGTATAGGCGGGGCGTGTGGGAGGCGCAGTCCATTTCTTTATAGGTCTATACCATTGGTCAACTATGGTAACGGTTTTGGTGGTATCGAGGTTTTGTTTGTGGTTGTTATCATATGTTTTACTCTTGTTCTTATCAACTTATTCCGTGATTAAAAATTGATTACAAAATGCATGACGTATTGATTTATTAGTTAAGTAATTAGTTTTAATGTTATAGTTTTACTTGTATTTCGAATTTTGCATATTTTATGAAACAATCGCACTGAATTTAGTGTTATCTATTAGTCATATCACTATGTATTAAATTTATCAATTTTTGGGTCTCAACAATGGCTGGGAATTTTTGGCAAAGTTCACATTAGTAAGTGCATATGTAGTATTAGTTCTTATCATTACTCAATATATTGTTATAACTGGGCCCAATAAAAGTTTAATGGCGTAAGAAATTGTCAGATCACTTTAGAAAAATTACATGGTTCCTAAAAATACTTTTCGAAAGTCTAGATTTTGTTGTAAAATTACTCGGTCTAGGTTGCAATATTTAATTCAAGAACAGAGCTCATAATATAGCTGTACAATTCATTACTTTGATTCTTGTTAGTTATGATAATGTTTGACAATAGATACTAGTTTGATTTTAGGGGAAATACAGCAAGAGTGTAAAATGACAAATTAAAAATGCATAAATTGGACACAGAAACCGATTAAATACCTATTAATAGTATTCGGTATTATCCCAAAGTTCTGTGACATGCCAATTTGTTAAAAGTTATTCAACTAAAGAAAAATTTGACTAATACATTTGTTATATTTATTTATATTTAATTATTTTAAAATAATTTGGAACTTAAATGAGTCAATACAACAGCTAATAATACTTCTGTCTGTTTATGCCACAGCCTTCCTTTATCTTCACCAGAATTATTAAATGTATCCTATAACTTTAACTAAAGGTTAACTAATAAATTTTGTTAAAAAATTTGTCTGTTTTTTTCAAATATTACTACTATTATAATTAAAACTTATGCTGTGTCTAGAGACTTGGACTCCTTTGTAATAATGCAGAAGTTTCATTCATGTTAGTAATAGAAACAAATAATAATTGTCAATTGATAAAAAATTTCACATACAACCAAAATAACAATTATAAATTATTCATAAAAAAAAAAAATGCTAATTCAATAAATAAATAATAATGTATCCATATTTTTAATTTCTTAGCCAACAATGGATGTTAGACAAACAGGATTTAGTCAGAGAACGCCAGCTAGATTTGCAAGTTTTGACTGAGGAAGAGTACCAAAAGATTTGTATTTTTTTTTCTAATTGTAAGTCTTAAATGTTTTGTGTTATTAAAATATCTTTTTAAATATTTATATGTTTTTTCCAGTTATTCAAATTTTAGGTGAGCAGTTAAAGCTCAAACAACAGGTCATAGCTACTGCTACAGTTTACTTTAAACGCTTTTACTCTAGAAACTCCCTCAGATGTATCGATCCTCTACTACTTTCTCCTACTTGTGTATTTTTAGCTTCGAAAGTAGAAGAATTTGGAGTTATATCAAATAGTCGCTTAATAACTACTTGCCAAACTGTTTGTATGTAAACTCAATTTTATTCTTCTTATAATCTTTACTTTTTAATTAAATGCTTTATTTTCAGTAAAAAATAAACTGAATTATGCATATTCTCAAGAGTTTCCATATCGAACAAATCATATACTAGAATGCGAGTTTTATTTGTTGGAAAATTTGGATTGCTGTTTAATTGTTTTTCAACCATATCGTCCATTGTTGCAACTGGTTCAAGATATTGGACAACATGAAGATCAATTGTTAGCTTTAGCTTGGAGAGTTGTCAATGATAGCTTGAGGACAGATCTGGCCTTGTTGTATCCCCCTTATCAAATTGCAATTGGTAAGCATTTGATATATATTTTGCATTTTGCGGTCATTTTTTAAAGAGTTATGTATAGGCAATATTTAAAAGAGATTCGAGTTCTTTGGCTACTTTACTATGTTATGTAGGAAGCCGATTTTCATTTAAAAATTTCATTTTCTTGTAGTTAAAAAAATTAAATTTTAAAAATTGTTCAATATTAAAACCCAATTTTTTTGCATAAAAAAAGCAAAAATCTGTTTCCTACAAAACCTAGTAAAGTTGCCAAAGAAATCTAATATCTCTGCAGAATTGAAATCGGATCATCCTAAATAGTATAAATTTTGTCTGGCTTTTTGGTCTAAAACGTCAAAACCGCATGCAATACCCTTAAAATAAATAAGTTTAATTAAATTTTTAGAATTTTATGTCATTCATTATTCATTATTGGGTTTTCTTATAGTTGGTCAAATTTACTGTAGTAGCATTTAAATTTGTTTGTCATGTATATTTTATTTTATTAGGAACCGCCATCCCCTTCTCCGGCGACGGACTGACGACCCTTCCCGTATAGCGAATTTGTCAAGCCTGTTAAGCTACATGATGATGATGATTTTATTTAATTACAAAAATAATTATATTAGTAGTTTATAATAATAATATTATTATTATTTGAAGAAACAGAATTTAATAATTTAAATTACACTAGGAGATTGTGATTTGTAGGAGATTTGTATAGACATTTATGGAACACATTGCTTAAAGATTTTAACCCTTCATTGCATAATGTTCCATATATTGAACAATTGTATTTATTGTTTGTATCTGCTCATACTATACATCTTTGTATTCACAACGTTCCATAATGTTCCAAATTCTTTAATTAGTGTTTTCCATGAAACCAAAACTCAAAAAAAATGAATTTTTATTTTTTTAAGTAGTATTAAGTACATTTATAGCATATGGTTAAAAAAAAATTCATGCAGTGAAGGGTTAATTGATAATTGAATATTATTATGGGCGACAGATGCTCAACTAAGCTTTATTTTGAGTGATTCAGAGTTAGTGAAAACAATTCATTATTTGTTTCTATTGTGGCATTGTATTCCTTCGAGTACAAAATTTTTAAGATTTCTTAAATTATTTTTATTTTTTAGCAACTGTAAGCATCACTACCAGAAAATTCTGTTTTTTTAGTTTTAAATTTTTTTAAGGTATAATTCATAATTAGACAGATGTTCTTTGTATAAAAAGTCATCAGTAAAAAAAGAGAAACTAACTATTATTATTATTTTATTTTTAATAAATAAGATCTACTATTGACACTAATTTAGGCTTTTGAAAGTAAAATTTATGAAAACTAATATTTTAACCCTTAATACTACCTTTGAATTGGTTTTTAAGGGTAAAAAAAATATTTGAACATTCCTAATTTATTTGAGAAAAACTGCTAAACTGACATAATAAATTATTCTTACATTTCATAAAACAAAATTATTTTTTGTCCACCCATAAAAGACAATTTATTTAATTATAACTATTTATTTAATATATTGTATAGTCATTAAAACGGGTATAATGTATTTTTAATTTTTGTAATATTACACTATCAATGCTTTATTCTGTGACTTTAGAACTATTCATTGAACATTAATTATGCTTTTAGGGTGTTTACAAATTGCTTGTGTTATCATGCAAAAAGACCTTAAATCATGGTTTGCTGAACTTAATGTGGACATAGACAAAATTCAAGAAATATCAAGGTATATTATTAATTTATTTGAATTATGGAAATCATACGATGAGAAAAAAGATATTCAAGGGCTTTTAAATAAAATGCCGAAACCAAAATTGCAGTCATCTCGGTAGACTTGATTATTAAAAGTTATTAAAAGTTGTGTGTTAATAATAAGTAATTATGCATTCCTATTTTAATTAAACATCGTTTTGCATGTTCTAATTACTTTTTGTTTATTAAAAAACTATATAACACAAATTTTTAATAATTCTAGTTTTGGAATGGCTTAATTGTGTATCGCACCTAATTAGTTTTAAGTTATTTTTTATTATTGTTTATTTTATTATACATTTTTATCATATTACTGTAGACTAATTTTAAAAATTTGACAGATGTTACAAATAAGAATATTATATTCTTATTATAATATTATATTAAGCTACTTTGTTTTTAATTTTTTTTATCTTTAGGTAATACTTTATCTATAATATCGGTATAATCTAAATTAATGTAATTAATAAATTTTATGTTATTTAACTTATTTATAATGAAACTCATCTTTTATTGATCTCTAGAAGATTCCTAATAATATGAATTACTAACTACAAAAAAAATGTTTTGTTTATAGATAACTAATTATCTACAATGGAAGTGTACTTGATTATCCAGCTTACAACTTTTATGTTCTAATATTGGGTTAATAGTGTTGTTTATTGTACTTTATCAGTGTTTACCTTATTGTAGCCCATTATTTATTTACTGTTTATGCTAGATAATACATTTTTCATTATTATAAAAATTGATATTTATTTAGATGTATATTTGGGTTGTCTAGGAATATATATTTCCAGACTGAGAATGTTCACGTGAATAATTATGTTTTAAATGATACTAAGTTTTGAACATATTTATCTAATCATTTCATGTTACTCTCAATTTCTATCATTTTTAGTGAACTCTGAACTTTTTAATGGCAGTTTATTTTCTAAAAAATACAATAAGAACTAAAATACATATATTTTCTATTTAGCTAAAAAAAACTAGGTTTTTTCTATCTGAAAGCTTCACTCTATTGTTTTAACCAATATTCTCCTTCGCCCCCTTATCTTTTTATTTTTTGTAATTTGATTTAGAAATTAATTGTTCATAATAATTTACTTGCATAGCTTCTATTCAACTATTCAAAACTCGTTGCCATTTTATAATAACACACCTTGAAACATTTAACCAGATTAATAAATACGTTTTCACATAATAGATTCTAGTAGGCAATTGTAAAATGCCTATAAAAGAAGTCTAGTTTTACTCTCAAAACTATGATAGCAAATATAGTTGAAAATTTAGTTTTATTTATACTTAAAGGTGATCTATAATATTGTACGGAATTATTCTATTTAAAGTATGTGATATGCCAAAAAATTATAAGTGGTAGTACAAAGTACATACTGAACTTTCTTCAATTAAAATTGTTAGTGAAAAAACTAATGCAGTTTTAAGTAGTCTTGAAAAAAATGTTAAATGTATTGTTTGTCATACCTGGTGGGCAATCAGCAAGCCCGGTAGGTTGCTTGTATATTTGAGGTGTATATCGGGTTATAACTTGCCCTTGCATATAAATAATGCGTTACTTACTGTTAGCTTAATATTCAATAGACAGACAAGAAAATTGTTTATATAGTTGAACATAAGCTATAAGAATTCCTTAAGTGGTATATGAATATTCTACCAAATAATAAAAAAATTAATTACATTTTAATTATCACCCTATATATAATTGGTTTCACTAATAAATGTATGCATTTTGTTCAACAGCAAAAACAAATTGTAATATTAATACAACAGTTGTATATTTTAAAAATATCTCATTTATCAAATTAATTATAGTTGTAATGATAAAAAAATACATATAACATTACTAATATTAAAAAAAGTAACAACTCTTATCAGTGTATAAAAAAATGATGGAAACTAGTTGAAAAGTTATTGTTCTTGTGAATAAAATAATTAACTTGAAAAAATATGATATGAAAAACTGAGTTCTATATTTATTGTACAAAGATTACTTTTCCAGACAAATTATTATATTCAAAATAATAGAACGTCAAACAGTAAAATACAATTGGTCAATCATTATATTATTATTTATTTGCCTTAGATAAAATTGTTACGTTTATCTACATAATATAACCTTGAATAAAAACTTTTTTTTTTAAATATTGGAAAGTTGTGATAAATTGTTATATCAATCATTAAGTTTTACAACAAAAGTCTTACACTAATAATTGTAGCCTGGTTATCAAAAAGTAAAATGGTAGAAGTTTTATATTTTACTATCTAAAACACTAAGAAATGATGTATGTTTTCGTTCTAAACAAGATTAACTGATAAAAACTTATATAATATTGAAAAACAATAAATGTTCTTAATATATATAACATATATACTGGTTAAAGCACAACATAAGAAAATACATGTAGATAATGTGTGTCTATTCAGTTACAGATTCATTTTTGTCTTTCTTCTTCTTCTTTTTCTTTTTCTGAAATTTGAAAATATGAATATTAAATAAATTTGATTACATTTTCAAAATATAAACAGATGAAACTATACCTTTTCTTCTCCAATTTCTTCCGAGGCTACAGCTGGTTCTTCAGTGACTGCTTCTTCAACATACTCCTTTTTGATTTTCTTCTCTTTTTTAACTTTGACTGGAGTGTCAGTATTTTCTGGCGTGCTTACCCGTTTCCTCTGTAACAATTTACGTGCATTAATTCTATTTACATTTAACTTCAAATTATTAAATAATTTTTAAGAAATACAAAATTATTACTTTTCTACTTTCGTCATCAGCTACATTTTCATTTTCAGTCTTGATTTGAGTTACTCTAAAAAAAAAAAAACAATATGAAATTATAAATACATTTGTATTATCAAAAACGTTTAATTTTTAAAACTGTTACTCTTTCTTATAGTATATAAGGTTATTATGTCCGCGTGATTTAATAAATTAATTACAATAGTTCAGTACTTACAAATCTTTACAGAAGTTTTCTCTCCAATTTTCGGGGGTATTTTCATTTGGCTTACCATATTTATCTAATAGTCCTTCACCGACCATTTTCTTTTTTGTAAGAGCCTAAAAAAAAATAATAATCAGCTTTTCAAATAAACTTGACGTGCTGCTTTCAATTAGAAGATCCTATATAACAAGAGAGCGGTCAACCTTCCAATGCGTTTTAATTCATTGGTTTATACATTGTATGTTAGATGGGACGAAATTTTCATTCAAAAATATTTTTTACATTAATAGCATTATAAACCCAAACATGGCGACCCATGAAATTCCAAACCAAAATTTAATGGTCACTCTCTGATTATATAGGCTTTCTACTCTGAATCATTCAGACCAGTAACATGATGCACACTTCAACTTATTAAGCATTTTAAATAAATATATTATAATTATTTATACATAACTGTATATACAGCTGTGATAAAAAGTCCTATTATTACACATTAAGTTCATTTTTACTATACAAGATAAATGTAACTCTATGAAATAAAAAGCAAGTATTTTAAAAAGCTGTGTGTGTAGGGTTATTAAATAACCCAATTTAATGTCATTAATTTAAATAAAATAATGTACCATTGGTCCTAAACCCCATTTACGAGGGTAGGTGTCTCGATCCATTAATACTCGTTTAAGTTTAGCTACAATCCCATGATCACAACTAGAAATTGTAGCAGTCGTCATCAATGCTATACCTATAGACATAATTTTTAATATAAAGATAGATATTGTAATATAAAAAAAATATTATATATTATATAAATATTCAACAATTAAAACCAAATGGGGTTTTAAAAATGATTATAGGAAACAGAAAAAACCTTAATATTTACCTAATGCAATGGCTTCTCCTTTGGATGAAACAATTACAATTTCCATATTTAGTTCAATACCATCGTCGTATCGCAATATACCAGGCAACATAATTTTGGCTCCGTGACAAATGGCATTGACCTTAAATAAATTTCACAAAATTAAAAATATAAGTATGATTTGTATTTTTGTACAAATACTTACAGCACTATCCTTAATGAATATTCTTTTGTAGTTTGTAAGTAGTCCTTCGAGTGGTCTGATTACCCGTCGTAGGTACGACTCGTCTTTGTTGTTTTCATACATCCACTGTGCATCTAAGACGTCATGCAACGTCGCTAGTCCCGATTCTTCACTGGTAATACCTTTACGTAGAATAGTAAGTAATATTAACATTAAATACAGCATTATCATCAATAATATTAACCCGTTTGTTACCTGATCGATTTCTTCTAAGTTCAATCATCTGACCGCCTGTGCCTAAAATTAAGCCCAAGTGGACACAATATGTTCTTACATAAGTTCCAGCTTCACATTTAAGCCAAACAACCCCAGTGTTTGTATCTTCATCATAGTCCAATAATTTATTTTCATAAATTGTACGAATACGCAACTGTCTTTTTACAGCAGCTATCAAAGGAGGACGTTGAAATAAAGGACCACGCAATGATTCCAATGTTTTCTTAATCTAAACATAAAATTGTATCTTAACTAACTAATTCTCTACATCTTTTAATCAACTTTTGATTTTAATTCTTACGTCAAGAACACTATCTACTGGATTGTGAAGTTTAAAAATTGAGATATACTCTTTACCGCTGGATTGTTGAGACTTTACAAGTCTTGTACTTCGTTCAATACATACAACCAATACACCTATAACAGTTATTTAAGAATATTATTTATTAATTATTTAATTCTGTTAATAGTTAATCACACTTTTAACCTCAGATCGGTCGCACAAAGTAAATAATCTCTCAGCTTAATTATAGACGTCATAACAAATGTCCCAAGATAATACCCCAATTTAAGTAATATAATATTGTAAAGCTATTGTATACATGTCTTATTATTTACACTCCTCCAGGAGGAGGAGTGGCCGAGGGGTAAGGCGGGAGTGTGAGTGCGTTCAATTGTCGCTCCGTTTGCCGGGCGAGCAATCATCTGGTGAAAAGGAACTGCCATTCCCCTACCCGGCGACAGACTGACAACACGTCCCGGACAGCGAATCTGTCTAGAAACCATCATCTCATGATGGTAGAGCGTTCGGTCTTAAAGGCCCTTTCAGCTTGATTATGATTATTTACATGTTGATCTGACTTTATCAGTTAATTGTGTCAAGTTTGGATAATATTTATCCTTTGTGACCAAGTATAGTAAATAAATAATTTTTTATTCATTGTTTTAAGAAACATGGATGGATTTTATTTAAGGCGTATCAAAAAGTTAATAGTTATATAATTTTATGGTATTATTAATGTTTTAAACATCATTCCTATAAAACTTAATACAAAAATGTGCACTTAAGAAATTTATAAATTATGGCATTGATAGTCCAAAACCAAGAAAATGGAAAACTATGAAAATCACACTAAAAGTAAATCTAGTGTTATTCTTTATTATATACTATGCATATATTACATTTATACAAGGACAGCCTTAATATTTGAATGGGTCATTGCAAATATTAAGACCACATATAATCTGAAATTCAATCCAGCTACTTAATATAATTTCCAAAATTAATGTGCAAGAACAAACCGGAAGTTTTTGGGTCGAGTGTACCAGAATGCCCAGTCTTTTCAACTTTCAGTATTCGCTTAATCCATGCTACCACTTCATGCGAACTCGGGTTAGATGGCTTATCCAAATTAATAAATCCAGACCGTACATAATCCTTAATATCTCTTTGTAGAGGGTTAGCACCAAACGGTAGTGGAGTGTAATGATTTGTGCGTACATTTAATGTGTCAAAATGCTAAAAAAAAAAACCAAACAAAAATTAATACACTTTAAAAAATTATTTTAGTTGAGTTTTACAAGGAAAAATGCTTAATGCAAAATAAAAAAATAATTATGAAAATTTGTAATGGAAAATTATAAAATGGAAGAGAAAACTTCTAGGTAGTTTGAATCATATTATTAAAACCGAGGAATAATATTAACACCCGCAACAAAAATGGTAGCAACTTAACCCTTCAATGCGCCATGTTGCTTATTTGCAACAATCTTTTTTTCCTTTTTCTTTATTTAATTTGTTATTTTTCATCTTAATAGTGCTAACTAGCGGATAAATAGAGAAGTTTATGATATTAAAAAAAATGTCAGATCAGCTGATAGTTCCGTTATATCAGCCGCCGCTGTTGTTTAAAAATGAGTAAGACCTAATCAATATTTTTCCCGGTTTCTCTTAATTTAAAAGTATTATAAGTTTATTAATATTTGTATATTTGATAAAAAAAAAATTGTTTTGGTTTGTAATAAATAAATTAGACTTGTAATATAAAAGAAACAATAAAGGTTGATTGTTTTATCGAATATAGTGACATTTATATGGGCAATGTTGCAAATAGGCAATAATCTGAAAATTGTTCATTTTGCAGGAAAATATTGGAGTAAGAATTTTTTTCGTAATCTACAACTCAAAATACACAGGGAACATTTTTTTTTTAATTAAAAAATTTGCGCATTGAAGGGTTAAATTGATTTATTGCTACAGTCAAAATGAGATTTTTTACCCTTCTCTTCTATCCTCTATAAAATGGTCATCATTTATATCCTGATTTTAGAATCAATACATAATGCTCCCCCCTCTCTAATCAAATTAGCAGTTCTTGTGTTGTGGAGGGGGGAGGTTATGAGAAAAAAACCCATAATCCCTAGTACCAAATGTAGCTGACGTCTTTAGTAATACTACAATATTACGTGTAGCAATATTCAATGCTGACGCCTTATAACACACACACACATTGTTTTAATAACATAAAATAATGAAGGCTTATCCCTAACTGTAAGACTTGACCCTACCCCTTACGTTTTTCCACGTTACCCCACGTTTTGTGTCCTATTTTGCAATAAAAGAATATCTTTACATCTTATAGATATTCATTGGACATAAATAATTTCATTGATTGGACATGATAAGGATGTCAAAACAACAAATTCGTAGTTAAACATAATTAATTATAAACATGAATCTTAAAACATTAGGAATGTTGGGTTCATTAAATATGGGGTTTTACTGCCTTTTTGATTTGGATGACATACTGAATTTAAATTCAAAAACTATAATTAATGATATTTCATTAGTTTTTTTTCTTCAAAAAATTACCTTTAAAAGTAATGGCCATTTTGATGAATCAATCTTTTCAATTTTTTCTGATGGCTTTAAATAAAATGGGAGCTCCGTTTGAATTTCTCCAATGGGTTTATCATCTTCTTTCGATTTTTTTGACTTTTTCTTCTTTATACTGGACAACGGCTCTAAAACATAAGTATAATTTATGTAACCTACCGACTATTCTAAATACATTTATTTCTAAATATTTTAAATGGTCAATTTCATGATGTAATTTATTTCATTTTAATAAATCTTAACATTTTTTCAAAAAAAAATCGTCGTAAAAACGGCTTTTTACATTACCTTTCCCCCTTAAAATAGTTATGTTAGTTAGTTAAAAGTAAAATAGTTAAAAAGTTAGCTAAAATAGTTAGTTAAAAGTCTATGAGCCTGATTTTATCAGGCTCATAGACTTAAATCACAGAAAATTCAAAGATTTCCTATCTTGACTACGTTTTTAGTATAGTGTTATTATGTATCACTTAAGTACGATGGTTATTCGTAATCAGCGTACAGGAGTCTGGTAAAGTAAATTTATACTTTATTAAAATTTGTATAATTTACTTAGGGGAGCTTTTGCCATAATTATTCATCAGGCTTTAACAGAAAAGAAAAATCATAAATATAAAATAATTTGGTTGATCTATGTGGTGAGTTCGGGATAATATTGAGCTTCAATGCAATAGAATTGAGTTTGATTCCCTCTGAGACGGCTGAGAAGTACTAGTAATCGACCAAAATACTCTAATAATGAAAAGTATACCTTTTTTCAGGTAAAGGGTATTTTTTTCAAATTACTTGTATCTGTGTGTGCCAAAAAAAGTGTGCACACAGACCAGTAAATATGTTTTTTTTATAATAAAAAAGAAAATGTTGATATAAAACAAAATTACATTAAACATTAATTTTGAAAGACCCTAAATTTGTAAATCAATTTCTGTATTTTTGTTGTAGAATATTTAAAAATTGAATATAACAAAAATGAAACGTGCTAATTTAGTTTTAACCTAGTTGACTGATCAAATTAAAAAAAAATTGAATTGACAAATATTAGGTAGGATTGGATGACAGAATGATTACTGTATGTTGTACAAATAATATACATTTTTAAAGAAAATATTACAATGCACCATCGATGATTTGACTCTTATGTCAGTGGCAATATTGTTTTGAAATATAACCATCAAATGGGATATTAACAGTTATTAATTGAAAATTTAGTGAACAAGTATCTGTATATTGAGTTCTACAACCGAGTTACAATAAAGAACCCATATAATTATTGAGATACATAATGACTTAAGAAATTATAAATTTCACACGTTTCTGTCAGCTTAAAGCGGAAATCATAATATTAGTTTTTCAAATAGATAAATACAAATATAGTGCTTGAAACCTTAAAGGCAAATAATTATAAATATATTCTTTACAAACTTAGTAAGTGTAACTAAGAATTCGTACAATGTTGAAAATTATAAATTACAAAGAATAATCCACGTTATTTATTATGAATACACAATAACGTCAACAAGTTGCCGGTTGTGTCGTCAGTACATATTTTAACATATTATTATACTTACGAGTATCCTCCATAATTAAGAATTAATTGTAAATCGACAAAATAATAATATTATTATACTACAAGATAATATAAAATTTAAAAATTGAACATAACAGGACTGAGGTACCCGCGTGTACCTCTCGGCTATTTGATATTTAATGATTTAATAACACGTGCGCGCTGTAGTCTGTACCGTGAGTACCACACTCCAGTCCGTCAATATAAACAAAATATATACAATTATTTTTATAGGTTAAGTCTTACGCTTGTCGGCTGCTGCAGGTGGGCGACGTATCTCGACCGCTTTAAAAAAATGAACAGGTATATCACCAACTAGTGTTATCACTCGTTACAATATGGTGGCCAATTTTCTCTCTCTTAAGAAACACACAGCCGCCCGAGAAATCCGGCAACCATTTCCAAGATCATCACAAGCTGCTGACATACCTATTTATTTTGTTATACCTCCAACTAGCCAATTGGCGCCCTCTATTATAGAGTAGTGTTCAACTATGGTAGTTTTTAAAAAAAATTGTTATCATGTTATCAGTTATCACCTCTGTGAGCTATGAAGTATGAAATATGAATTATGCCAATATTTACATCCGCGATCTCATAATTAGGTATAACAATATTAATTATTAAATGTATTACTATACATCACAACTTTAAAAATACTGTCACTGTCCTTAGCAGGAAATAGTGAACTCAGTATTAAATCCACTACCTACGCGATTATTTTTTTGTTACACCTATTTGCTGTTAAGACACTCAGATTCAATTATTACAAGGTCTTAGAAGTTTCGAATTATGACGTAAAATCTATAAAAAAGTAAATACTGTGACATCCAATTACGTAAAATGTTATGCGCCATTGACACTTTTCTTAAAAATGTTTAATTTAAAATACTTACATTTAAGTTTGAATTTCAAATTTGTTTTAGCTTAGTGATATCAAATATTGTAAATAATATTAATTATGCTGCCATTAATATAAAAAAAAAATTACAAATTTGCAATTATTTTTTTTAAAAAATAAGAGTTTTACTTCAAACCATACACATGTTTTTTTTTATAAAGAGCATTTTAATTTCTAGAACCCACTCACCTTCAAACAATTAAAAGAATAAGGTTTTTAATGAAGGTAATAAAATATAAGTTTTAGCGTATTGTAGAATTTTAAAAAAATGTTGGAAAATATAAAATTGAGTATAAGTAAATATTTAACACTTTAGAACGCCATAACCTTTAAAAATAAACGTAAAAAACTGTTTATGGAATCATTCAGTCATGTAGGTCAAAGCGAAATAGTCATAGAGAAAAAATGTTGATACTGTTAAAAAATTGACTACCAAAAAAAGTCCTAATTATTGAACTATAATTACACATCAGTATAACATTTAAATTGATGATGATAAGGTTATTTTATCAACCATCAACTAAGTAAAAATGGTAATAACAAATTTTGTATTGTTTTACAAACAATAGTTTGACAGTTGTTTAATAATTAGATGTTTTCTTTTTTTTTTATAAAAATACGTTTAATCAATAACAACAAAATATGAATTCAGGTATTTAAAATTAGTTCATAATCAACATATTTAAATAATAAATATATTTTATTTGCTCTTTTTTAACCGTATTATAGTTTTGGGTGTTTTATCAACAGGTAAATAGGATAATAATCGAGTTCTCTTGTTACGAAATGTTTTTTTTAGATTAATATTACGTAAGCTAGAAATAGATGCTCTCTGGATAATTCTAGCTCCTCTTCTAGGCTTTCTACTCCTTGGACACTTGTTTATTTTAGAAGCTGACACGCTTCGGTTATTGATTACAGTTGATCCAAAAACACTTGTTTCTATTTGTGGCGAGCCCAAGTTAGAATTGGCTGAATTAAATATCTATAAATAAATATAAAGTTGTGTATATTGAACATCAAACTTAATATATTATGTGTATTAGAGTGGTCCTTTAGTTTGACATGGCATTAGATGGCCGTCATTAAGCTCCAAATATTGAAATATAATTTCTCTAATTTTTTCATATTTTTATTTCATTCTCTTAGTCTTCCCGTTGGTTAGTTAATATTTTTTCAAGAATTTTTGGAGCTGAATGATGGCCATTCAACGCCATATCAAACTTAAGGTCTACCCTAATATACATAGATACATAAATTTATTAAATATATTGGTATTATTAAAATTGATAAATCACCTTAGGACATCCTAATTCCACTAATAATTGATCGGCAACTTGTTCAACACTAATTTCTTCATATTTCTTGTCGATTGTTGAAGTTGCCAAAAAATCTTTTTCAATAGCTATGGCTTCTCGAATAATACTGATAATAACATTTTGAGATGGTTTCTTGGTCAGTTTTTTAAATAAATCCAACGTACGATTGTGGTGTAAATTCTAAAACACATCACTTTAACAGTTATAATAAATAGTTATATACTTTATTCGGTATAAGAAGAGTCCGGCGCGGCTGACCGCTTTTCATCAACGCCGGGTCGGCGGGTGATAGGTTTCTACCACCAAGTCGAGGCACGCGATGCAATGCTTCGGAACAAAGCCACGTCCATGCGCAACCAGGACTGTTTTCATTACGAATAGAGTATAGTTGTGAAACTTAAGATTGTGACAAAATTAAACAATTTTGATGATATTCAGATCAGTGGACCCCGGAAAATTCATCTAAACTTGGAAGACTTTGATATTTTTGTTAAAAAAGAATTGGATTATTTTGTAACACCGCAAACCCAAAACTTTTTTGAACAATTTGATATAAATGATAGGTTATTGGAGATTGATCCAGCGCTTTGGCCTCAAGATGAAAATGATCAACAGTACGAGTAACAATCGCGGAAGAGCAGTTTACCTATTTAAAGAATATAGTTCAATCATAATGCAGAAAGAGGATGAAAGTCAATTTCTCATATAGATTGTTTCAGAACTCGGGAAAGAATTTCCTGTTGCCAAAATAGAAATAGTTATTATGAAGAAGTTTTGAAGCGAGCACTCAATAAATTACAATACCTTCATAGTGATTCTACTAAAATTTTACAATGCTAGTATTTTTATTTTTTATTTCATTAATTAATTTACTAAGCCATAGTTATTGGCTTTCGATATAAAAAAATATATTTTTTTGTCTGGAAATGAGTTATAAATATATATATATTTTTTTAAATAGTTTGACCTAGCAGTAGAATAATTAATTTAAAAGTAGGAAAATTGCAGTATTTTAAACGGAAAACTTCTCCTTGTTACAGTTAATGGTTAAGATCAGATTAGAAAGTTTTAAAGTAGGCTAAATATATAAATATATTATTTTTCAAACAAACAGGGAAGTAGCATAATTCAAATTCGGAATTTGTGTAAATAAAAACCTCCCTAATATATAATATATCTAACTTTTACATATTTAACAAAAAATAATGTAAGAAAATAAAGAATAAAGAATAATGTAAGAAGAAGATAAACAGTTGATGTACAGTAATAAAACAATTAAACGACACACACAAAAAAATCTTATACTACAATAACAATATAGTAATGGTAAATAGTGTTCTATATTAACATACTATATTCTATAACTATATTCTATATTAATCACTAAAATTATAAGTGATAATCGTGTTAAAAAACTTTTCAGTGTTTTCCTCAATAAAAAAAAGCTGGCTATGGATTTTTTATTCTACACTCCTCCACATTACTTATAATTCAGATTTCAAAAACTACTATGACTAAAAGAAATAAAAAAAATTCCTAACTTTTTTCTGGGGATAATTAAATTTCTTATAGATTTAATTATAATAAAACATACATATGCTGCAGTGCTACACTTATAAAAAATGTCAAAAACCATACCTGGAATATTAAAGATCAGATACTAAAAATACATAGCAAAACATTTTCTTCTCCATATCAAAAAATGTTATGTTCCCCTTTTTTGGGGTTTTTCAAGATTTTTGAGAAAATTGTTTATGTTACAGCCCAACGCTAGAATTACCTACAGATCTTAAGCCCTAAAAGTACACCTACAAAAAGGAAATAAGAAAAAAAGATTCAAACTCCTATGGGGAAAAGCCAAAGGTTTTTTATTATGAAATTTGTTTTAGGTAATAACTATAAGTTTCACAAATTTATTTAAAAAAACTTGGTCTTAAGGAACTGTTAATAACAGGGTTGGTTAGGCCACCAATCCATGGCATGTATATTACAAGACTTGTAGAATTCCCATTTCTAGACTAGCTACTTCTTCCCATTTTGTTAGCCATAAAAACATTTCAATTGAAAATTATTATTGTTTTAATAACTAGGTACTACCTATAAATTTATAGTACCTCTTCTTTAAAAACTGTTTCGTTGACTAATTTAACACTAGGTGTTGGACTTTTTTTCTCCATTGACGATAAAGCTGCTAGATTTCCAGAAAATAATATTTTTTCTGCTGCAACAATCACAACGAGTCGTTTTTCAAATGATGCTTTAATATTGGTCAACCATTTATGGATCCAATCAATCTTCTTCTTTACAGAAGGCCTTGTTTCAATAGCATTAAACAATAGTTTCCTGATAAAAAATATTTAAAAAAAGAAAATAGTAATAATAGCAAGTATACAGTATTAGTTAAAAAAATTTGATTTATAAATTAAATATACTTTTGCATTGGATCTGTCACATATGTCGTGGCTGCATGACTATACATTTCTGATAAATTTGAATTCATGCCCTCCGTCATTGTTTGAAAGCTGTAAACATTGTGTTTTTGTTCCTTTAATTAATCATTCAAAAGGATCAACACTTTTGAACAAACTATGTTCATTTAAATTTCTTCAAAATAAAAAATACCTTTGGCTTTTTTTACCCTTCAAAATTGTGAAACTTGCAACTTGCAAGAGTGAAAAAAATAACTGTAATATGACAATAGGCGGATTTTTGAACAGTTATTTTACAGCGACATTACAAAAATCGACTAGGCGCTATAATTTTATTTAAAACCATTTGGTAATTGGTAAATTTAATGAACAGTTAAGATATAATCAACAATGTTAAGAACATCTTAAAATGGTCAGTCTCCCTGTTTTTTGTTAACAGTTAACACAAACCAAGTGTAAATGTTATCAGTTTTATCATGATAATTCGGTTTAAAAATGGAAAATAATCTTCAAGAGACCTGCAATTATCATTTATCAACTTATCTACTATCTAAATTCTAGCGTATAACCGCGGACATAGACAAACAGACAACTGTAAACATCTAAAAATTTGTATAGAATTTAATTTAAATCTTTCTACTTTCAATACCCGTAATATGTCGGATAAAGGTGAGTAGAATACAATTAATTTTGTTGACATTTTTATAATTTGTTGTAGTAGCATCGTACCATAGTATAAAAAGATACTACTTTGTATTATTTGTAACTACTTACCTATTAACTGTTTAAAAATAATTTATTTTTATTAAGTGTCCAAGAAAAAAAAGATATTATCACAAAAAGATTATCTAAAAAAGTACCTTGCCGGTGGGAAAAAGAAAAAGAAAAATGTAAAAGTTCAGAAAAGGTATTGTATACATTATTGGAACGGTTTTTATAATTAAATCATTTAAATCATTAATTAACAGTTTTATTCAATTACTACTAGAGTACAAATAATTGATGACAATATCGATTGTGTCAATGAAGAAAATGGAACATTTGATGGAGACAATAATATAGCCGGATTTGATCCAGCCGATGAATTTGCACCTCAGATTGTTGGTGTTGTCGATGAAAGACCTCAAGATATCAAAACATTGGACTTGTATAAAAACAAAAACCGTTGGAAACGAGTAGGTGAGGATAGTGATGTTGAAGAAGAATCTACAAAAATTGATGTGGATCAAGTTCAAAAATATGTTCAACAAATCAATAAGTCTACTTTAAATGAACTGTTAAAAAATAAAAAGGTTTGTGAAATGTATTTTACAGTTAGTTTTATTAAAATATAATATCATAAATAGAAGTATCTAGGTATCTGGTTTTGGCAAATTTAACTAATTTATAAATTACAAATTATTGAATGTGTTTAACATGAATTTAAGTAGAAAATATTACACAAAGTTTTCCTTATAAGGAAGGTAGTTGTTCCTTTTCACTTGACGGTTTCTTGCTTCTGACCTAGTGACAAGTGACAATGAGCATTAACACACTGTCACCTTAACCCCTGGCCACTCATCCTCAAATATACTTTAAAGTTTTAAAGAATTTTCTATGGTGATTACTGCTAGAACATAATCAATATAATTTTCCACTTAAATATTTGTAATCATTGTACAGGAAATTGTACAATAAACATATTGTAAATACATTTTCTTTTTCTTCATTTTTAACTCCTATGGATGGGGTTGGGTACTGGTCAGACAAATGTGCCATTTACATAAGTTTATCAATTTGTTTGTTCACTTTGAAGACACCTTTCTTCATTTATCACAACCACTCATTTCTTCATTGGTCTACAGCCAGCTAAATCTGTCTAACTTGTGTTACTTTCCAAGCTTTCTTTCAGTATGTCCAAATAAACTTAATCTGTTCTATCTCATTTTTCTTGCTATCGAGAACTGTCAAACTTCTTCTAGTATAATATTGTACTCATTTCTTATGTCATTTAGCATAGTCATTTCACACATTCTTGACATTCTCATTCACATTTCAACGTTTTCATTTATGCAACTTGTACTTTTATTTGAAAAAGAACTATAATAAATATTATGTTATTATATTTTGTATAATTTTTGTAATACAAATATCAACAAATAACTATAACTATAACTGTTTAGAAAAAATTGAAGTCGATTCTTTAACCATATTTGTCTGTATATATGTCTAGAATGATGATGAAATCATAGAAAATGGTCTGCCCATTAGGCGAGATAGAAAAACTGGAAAAAAACGAGACCTTGAAAAAGAAAAGAAAGAGCAAGAGAAAAAAGATGAAAAATTAAAAGAACATAAAGAAAAATATGCTGTTTGGGGAAGAGGGTAAGACAACTGTTAAACTATTACTATATAAATATTTCTACAATCGTTGCCAGTATCATCATTGCACAGCGGCGGCGGAATTTATTAGCGAGTGTATCTCAAACAAGTGTTTTTGCTCTATTGTCGTTATGACACGCGTGGTTAAGCCGAATGGAAATGTGATAAGGAAAACCATTAGTTTTGCGCTTTTGTGCGCTGCTGTTGTGCCAACTTATCTGGTAACGACATACATGTATATTTATTATTATACTGTTATTAAAAAATGTATTACCTATTTATAATAAATATTATAATATGATAATCATATTTGTCTAAGCAAACAATTGACTGTTAAAGTTTAAACGTAGTGTAATGTAATAGAAATAATTTGTTCTCAAATTATTTTTGAAGAATAATTCTCTGATGTCTCTATTAGTGTAAAGCAAGTGAAAGACGCTCATGAGCAACACGAATCGGATATGCATGAAATGCAAAAACCGTTGGCTAGGTATGCCGATGATCAAGATCTGGAGGACTTGTTAAAGTCGAAAGTGAGAGATGGTGACCCTATGCTGGACTATATTAGGAATAATAAAGCAGATGCTGATGATGATGTCTCGCCAGATGGCGTAAGACATGGTAAATATATATATTTTTTTGGATCTATACAAATGCACATTGATTATTTAAATATTTTTGCTTTATTATATTACTGTTTTTTTTATAATTATTTTATTGTAATCATTTCTTTCATTATTTTTAGAAATAAGAGTTTTCCGTGGATTCTGTCCCCCTAATAGATTTGGTATTCAACCGGGTCATAAGTGGGATGGAGTTGATAGATCAAATGGTTACGAAGCCAAATATTTATTACAACTAAATTCTAAAAAGGCATTAGAGGATGAAGCGTATAAATGGAGTTGTTCCGATTTATAAATTGGAAATATATTTAAGCATAAATTTTATGTTAATTTTAATAACTTTTGATGTTTTGTGATAAAGTGTACATAAACATGAAGTAAACATTTATTTAGTCCTGAATTGTAAAATTATAAAAATAAATTTGCAAAACTATTGAAGGAATTACATTAGTTTACACTATTAGTTATAATCCGTATTTGAAAAATATTCAATTTTTTTAATTGGCATAAATGGAACTTATGTATATAGGACCATAAGAGAAAATCCATTAAAAGTTGAGGGCGGGGGTGGGGTCTTCTAAGAGACAATATAAATCGAGTGGGACTGACATCTATTTCAAAAAAAGTTCATAACAGGAATCAAACTCAATATCAGCTTTCGTAGCAAACTTATACATTGTATTTTGTTACCGTGTAACACGAACATTGTTTACTGGTTAAATCTTTTTTCTGCTAGGGTGGGCTTAAACCCCCCTTAGATTTCCCCCATAGGCAGGGTTGTCTTATGCAGGGGCCCTTAGGCACATAGAGTTAGGGGCCCTTTAAGAAAACGGAAAAAAATGTAGATGTACAGTCGTTGCCAGATAACTTGGTACAGCTGTGGCGGCGCGAAAACGCAAGCCCAGGGGTCCTCTGTATTTTATGTTGTTTTTTTTTGTCTATGATACCTTGTCGAAGCATAGTTGATAGTTAATTTTTATAAAATATGTAATAATAACGCCGCCGCTGTGGCAACGACTGTAAATTGTATTATTCGGGGCCCCCATTAGGCCGAGGGCCTTAGGTTCATGCCCCATGTGCCCTTAGAGTAAAGATGACTCTGAATACCAACACTATAAGCATCACTACCAAGGTTAGTACAAAGTTTTAAGAATAAATATTGGTTATTTTAGGCAAATGTAATGTAAAGTGTTTTATCTAGGAATAGGTGTATTTTTCGAGACAAAATGAAAATGAACTCTACAAAGATGGTAGAGAAGAGGGTAGGGCCTAGGAGTATGTATTTATTATTAGGTAAAGTCTCGTCTACATATTATGGAATTTGCCGGAATCGCGTCCCGTCTGCGTGTTAAAGAGTTTAGAAATGCACAGGTAGAGGGAGTTTATTAGAATATAATTATTCCCTAGTCTCTTAGTTTAAATATGAAAAATTATTAATAACAGTTAGTCCTGTTAAAAATTGTTTAACTATATATATATATATATAATATAATATATTATATTAGATATTTTAAATATTAGGTATATGATATTGCGCAACTTCTATGAATAGTAAAGACTGTAGAACACTATTAATGACATGTTTCCACTAATAACATTGCTGTGGGCTATCTATTTGTAGTTAATCAATGCCTTAGATCATTTATTTTTATATGTATAATAAATATAGTGTACCGAATTCCTCAGAATAAAAACGATGCTATTTTATATTTATTAGATTAGATTAGATAAAATCATTGAGTATACATTGACAACATATACTCAATGATAAAATGTATTATTAATGAATAATGGTCCCAGATGAAAACGTTAGCTTAAATGTACTACCATATCGGTTCGCATAGGTATAAACCGCTAAAAATTGTCTGTCTGCTATTGACCCATCTCTCTCTCTCTCTCTACTACACTTGTTCAATACTGATCGATATAAGCTTTTGTATAATGGTTATTACGGTACAAGTAGTTAGGAATTAAAACGTTAAGTTATGCATGGTGATTTATTTGTATACCTTTGGTAGCCGAGGCATTTGCATGCTAATTACATAAAAACGTTAAATTGTCAGTAAAAATGTAATTAAAACTAATGATATATTATATGTTAGAACATAAATCGTAGATTTTAAAATAATAATTGCCAAAACAATAATACAATTAGTTCAATCGACGTTTTGTTTTAATTTTTTTTGAACGGGGTTTGTTTCTATGGGCGTATACATGTGGGCAAAGCAATCTAATGCGTGCAACGCTATGAACAAGACTTTGTCTTGACCTTTACTAAATTATGTTGCGCCAGTAATATTGTTAATTATGGTTAAAATTGTACTACTACAAATGTGTAACATAACAACATAATATATTTTCTTTTATACGCCCTTGTGTGTATTTGAATTTCGATTGCACTCCTTGCATTCTAACTGGTTAGGCAGCTAAATGTTCTCATATCTGGTAACCTCCTTATCAGTGTACTATGGTATACTACTATAACTTTTGATGTGTTATCTTCTTCACAAACACAATAATATTATACTTGTTTTTTGGCTTTTCACAAACAATTTCGCCAATGAAAATAAATTAACGTTTTTTGTAATTTCAACTAAATTAATGAATTCTACTTGGCTTAATAAGTCATAGTGCATTCGGTGAGATACAAAGCGCGTATAATGGGGTTGTGGCAGGTTGACGCTTTAGCTGTACATGTTCATGTCGACCACTTCGTTCATGTTAAATAATATCATCTAAACTAGTCGTATAGATTGTCCATAGTGTTTTTGTTCAGTAAAATTCTTAATTCAATCTCCTCCAAATTATCCAGCATCATGAACTCTGATATAAGCACCAGAAATCCCCAAGAAGAGTACGAGTTAATTCAAAGAATTGGCAGTGGAACGTATGGAGATGTTTATAAGGTAAAATTCGTTTTACAGATCTTTTTATTTATTTATACCTTTTTTCCTAAAATATATTTAGTCTCATTAAATATTTTATTTAACAACCAATTTCAGGCTAAAAGACTTTCAACTTCAACTCTAGCAGCTATTAAAGTTATAAAATTGGAAGCTGGTAAGAAAAAATTTCCAATTATTTAATATTATATAAAAAAAACATTTTTTCTCCATTAATGTTAATTACACACACACACGCAAAATAAAGAAAACATAATTAAATTTAAACATGGCATGATCATGTATTTTAACGGGTTGTTTTATTAAATCCGAGGTAAAGGATTGAGGCTAAATGATGGAATAAGTTACTATTGTATCATTATATATTGTTTAGTGCTATTGTCTGAAGTAATCAATAATATTATATATATATTTTTAAAATTGTATCTTTTGTATTTAGGCGATGATTTTTCTATAATCCAACAAGAAATTTTAATGATGCAAGATTGTCATCATCCTAATATTATAGAATATTTTGGTAGCTATTTACGTAGAGATAAACTATGGATATGTATGGAGTATTGTTCTGGAGGATCGTTACAAGACATTTATCATAGTGAGTTTATTTATAATGTATTTTTTTGTCTGCTAAATTAAAATTTTCACTTGGGGTTGATGATCAATACCTAATCATATGAGTAGTCATATGTTGTCCTGCTTAAGCGATAGTCATTGTCGTACAATAATAGTTAATTGTTGATTAAAAAGGATGTTGAATGCGATGTTGAATCATTGCTACAAGCTTAATAACATATACTTAATAATAGGTGTAAACAAATGTATGACAAATGGGTAAAAGGGGTTATTCATACTCATTATTACACACTAAGTTATCAGAATGATGAATATTATTTGTTTTTTTATTTTAAAAATGTATTATAATCAAGCAAAATAAAAATTTAACTGATAAAAACATTACCATTATCGTGTAATTTAACTGGTCTTGAAGGCCTAAAGCATCATGAGATTTCAGGTTTCTTGATGTATTTGTTTACTGCCAGGGGTCATCATTCTGTCGCCGTTGAGAGAGATGGCGGCTCTTTTTCGTCAGTTGAGATTTCTTGCCCATGACTAAAGTGTTGAATTGCCAACAGTGAGTTCTAAACTCACTAACGCTCTACTCACTTGGCCACTCGTCTTCTATATAATATATATCTATATTAGGATGATTCCAAAAAACCTTAATTTATTATTTCTTGTTATTCTTTTGTGAATAATATTCTCAAGAGAAGAACCAAATAATATATTATATTATTTAGATTAAAAGAAAGTTTTTAATATTTTTTTTAGATTTTCAAAATTTCTAGAGGTGGTTCATGTCGATTTTATATAGGAAGTTAAACTTTTTTTGTTCAATAAAAAATGCTTAAAAAAAAATTAATTTTATACTCTTATTATTATTATTATATACTTCCTTAACAAATAAATACGAATATTGCTTATGCTATGGACCATAATAGCTAAATGTTCAATATTTTGATAAAAATAAAAAAACTTCCCTACAATATTTTTTGAAAAAAAAAAAATGTTTAGTATATTCTATATTTATTTACGAATAACTCTACTAACATACTAAAATATATTTTTTTAATAGTAAAAAAAAAAAATGAACCAGAACTACAAACAAAATAAAACATGTAACTATGTATTTAGAAGTTTTGCTCGTCCCGTATGAATAAATAAAACTAATATTACTTACCTAATAGCTCTGCCAATTATCATAAAACAATTAGTAGTGTACGATATAAATAAAAAAAAAAAATTTTATGAGGGACCAATAGTTGTTTTTTTAAATTAAATTTTATGATAGATTATGGTTATTTATTATTAAAAATATTGTTAACTTATAGTCTATTTATATATTTTAACTTAAAGGATTATTTTTTAACCATTAAAACATTATTTTTTTAATTATGTTATTATAATCAAATTTTTAAAATTTGTATACATTTTTTAGTCACTGGACCACTTATTGAATTGCAAATAGCATACATGTGCAGAGAAACTCTCAAAGGTCTTGCTTATTTACACACTATGGGCAAAATGCATAGAGATATTAAGGTATGCATTTATGTATATGTATATGTATATGTATAAATATATTACACTTGTTTCACGAAATCTACTTGACAGATTATTAAATACATTTTTTTATATTGCATACTGATATTAATCTACATAAATATTGTTATGTTTTATTTATATTTTATTAACGCAGAGGGATATTATTAAAAATTATGTATTATTTAGATATATTTATTATTAGTTACGAAATACATTTAAAAAAAATGTTAATTCCTTACAATAAACTGTTTGCAGGGAGCTAATATTTTATTAACAGAAAATGGTGAAGTTAAATTAGCTGATTTTGGTGTGTCTGCGCAGATAACTGCTACAATAAATAAACGCAAATCTTTTATTGGGACTCCATATTGGATGGCTCCAGAGGTTGTTTAATATTTTTTGTAGTCTTTTATGGTTTTTTAATTTTATACATTAATAGGACTTATATTATTTTTAGGTAGCAGCTGTAGAAAGAAAAGGTGGCTATAATCAACTATGTGATATTTGGGCGGTGGGGATAACATCTATTGAATTAGCCGAGTTACAACCGCCTATGTTTGATTTACATCCAATGAGAGTTTTGTTTTTAATGTCAAAAAGTGGTTTTAAACCTCCGACTTTAAAAGAAAGAGACAAATGGTTAGTTTTATTTGAAATATTAGCTATGTTTTAAGTATATATAAAAAATACAAATATTTATAATCGATTGTATGCTGTTGACGGTTTTCAGGAGTCCCACTTTCCATAATTTTATAAAAGTATCGCTGACGAAAAATCCCAAAAAAAGGCCAACTGCTGATAAACTTTTGATGGTACGACAGGTTAAAAAAAAAAACTAATTTTTGTTCTTGATTTTATAGTCTATGATTTATTTTCAGCATTCCTTTTTTTGTCAAGATATGAGCAAAAGACTAGCAATAGATCTTCTACAAAAAGCAAATAATCCACAGGCGCAAACATTTGCTGAAATAGAACCTGATGATGATGTAATTAAATACAGAAAATTATTTTATTAAATTATGAGTTTAAGTGATTTTTTTTGGCTTTTTATAATTTTTTAGTTTTTATTTTATAGTGAAAATTATAGATATACGTATCTCTTATTATTGGTATAGGTATTGTGTAGTTGGAATTTTTACTAGTTATATTAAAAAGCTATTTTTTTTTCCTTATAAATTAGGTGATATCAAATGTTCCACGACGCATTGCATCAAGGGTGACTGTTGACCACAGAGGTATGTGACAAAATATAATCATATAAACGCATAGTTAATTAAGTTAATTATTTATGGGGTGTAATTCATTAACTAATCATTAGTATTATTTCAGAAAATTTAATAAGCAATAAATATAAATTATTAATTTATAATATTCGTAGAATTTAGTATCGTCCAAATAATATTATCACTAAATAATCGTTAAATTATTAATTTTTGACCTTAGCCTTTTAAATTTTAATATTGATTCACTACAAAGTTAATCAATGATTTTAACTTTTGCGTGAGATCAACCCGACAAAGGCACAGTCTAAGAATATAAAAACTGGGAAATTAAACTGAACTGAAAAAAAAAAATTTGAACATAGACACTATATAGTGTAATTTCATTTTTATTTTCTATATTTTAGACTTTATTATAGACCCACTGAAATTATTTTTACATTAAGAGTGTGATAATATAATCAATATGAACATCGTGAAAATGTGAACGATGCCTTAGATATTTTTTATAGTTTGATTCTACAAAACATTGATATCTTTGTTCCCAAAGTATTTCCATATAAGTCATCTTATCCAAGTTGGTTCTCCAAGGAACTTCGAAGTTAAATACATAAAAAAAATAAATTACATAAAAAATTTAAACGCACAGGCTCTCAAGTAATTTATAATGAATTTTCGGGAACTACAGCTAAGTGTAAATTTTTATCTAAGCAATGCTATTCTAATTATTTAAATGCTGTTCAAAAAAGTCTTATCCATGGTCCCAAGTACTTTTGGAAGTTTGTCAAAGATTAAAAGAAAAACGACTCATTACCAAATAGTATGGAACTAAATGGCAAATGGTCTGAAGATATAAATGATATAACTGAAATGTTTAGTGATTTTTTCTCTTCTAATTATGTCGCTTCGGATAATCCAACTTCATTAAACTCCTATGAAGATTTTCATCTCAACACTTTGTCCTCTTATTCTTTTACCATTGCTGAGATATTTCATGCGTTCACAAAGCTTAACTTAATCACTAAATATGGACCAGATCTCGTTCCTGATATAGTTTATAATGCATGTTTCTATTCACTTTCTCGTCCAATACACTTCCTCTTCAACTTATCATTGTCCTCTGGGATCTTTCCTAGTAGATGGAAGTCAAGTTATATCTCTCCTGTTTTTAAATCAGGGAATAACTCAAATATACTTAACTATCGATCAATATCTAAATTAAACGCTTTGCCTAAGCTGTTTGAGAAACTAGTAGAAAATCAATTATCTGTAGTTTTTAAAAATATATTATCTAGCTCTCAACATGGTTTCGAACTTCCAAATCAACTGTCACTAATTTGCTTGTCTTTTATTCTGATATAATTTCTGCTGTTGCCAGAGGTAGTCGAGTTGATGCTGTGTATACTGATTTAAAAAGGGCATTTGACTCCGTAGATCACTCCATCCTAGTGCATAAATTAAAAATGTATGGTATGGGGGAACCCATGCATCATGGTTTGAGTCTTATCTTACTGGTAGACAACAACAAGTTAAAATAAGAAATATTATTTCATCTAGTCGTAAAGTCACTTCTGGGGTCCCACAAGGTGGGCATTTGTCACCTTTATTGTTTATAATATTTATGAATGACCTTGTTAGTATTTTCAAACATTCACGATGTCTGCTGTTCGTTGATGACATAAAAATATTCATGTACATTAAATCCATAAATGACTGCTTCAATCTTCAAGAAGATTTGCACAGATTTCATGAGTGGTGTGTTTCTAATAGTCTTAGTCTTAATGTAAGTAAATGTTTCCAAATAACATTCAATCGTAGCCGATGTATTGAATATTTTTCTTATAGTATAGACGGATCTAACTTAGTTAAAGTTTCTCATATAAAAGATCTCGGGGTTACGCTTTCTTCTGATCTTTCTTTCAAAGAACACATAACTGTAGTGTATAATAAAGCTTTAAGAACTTTTGGGTTCCTTAAACGTAATTGTTGGGAATTTTCTGACCCAGTCTGCCTTAAAGTACATATTGTGCTCTTGCGCGGTCTTTAGTAGAATACGGTTCTGTCATTTGGTCTCCATATCAATCAGGGTTATCTGACAAAATTGAAAGCCTCCAACGACGCTTTTTAAGAATGATAGCATATAAAATAGGCAAATTCGGGACAGATCTAAAAGTTATTGAATCTAATATTAGACTGACTAGTTTAGCTCATTGTCGATTTATTGCAGATGTTTGTTGGATTCATGGTCTAATTAAAAATACTATAGACTGTCCTGAAATATTAAATATTGTTTCTCTTAATGCTCCTTCCTTTTCCTTACGCTCAAACCAACTATTTCATATATCCTCCTACAAACAGAACTATAATTATTATTCTCCGGTAAATCGCATGTTAATGGCTTCCAATAAAGCAATACATTACAATTACAACTTAGATTTATTTACGATTCCTTTAGCCAGGTTAAAAATGATTCTTAACAATGTCGTTTAATTATTTTTGTATAGTTTTTTAATTAGTGTTATTGTAATTATTTATAATTAATTAAAAAAAAATATTATCCTGTACTCTATTGCCCCATGGACGTTAACTATTTTTTATAGTTAAATAAATAAATAAATAATAAAAAAAAAAATATATTGTGTGAGTTGGTGTATGTTGTAGCATAAAAAGGAATTATGAACAGATTAATGAGATTAGTGGCTTACATTTGACCTAACTATGGGGAGGAGCGTATTTCATATCAAACCTGTTTAGATAACGTGGAGAGCAAAACCCTCCTGTCCATATTATGGTAAACTACAAATTGTACAGAATACCGATTTTTAAACCCTTTAAAGTTTTAAGTAATAACGATAAATTAAATTTGTTTAATTATTTACCACCATCAGCAAGAAATAATGTTAACTTGTTTTCTTTCCACCAAATAACATCTTTTATGGCTACTTACGGATGATAACAATATGATGAATCTTTACTTTTCCTTACAAAACTACCTCACTCGGCGATTAAGAATACACATCGTCTTACCCAGTGCATAAACCCTTTTATAAATTTAACACAGTTTACGCATAAAGTATTGTCTACTTTAAGAAAATGAGAGTATAATATTTAAAGATGATATGCATTAAACTGTTATAATGAATTTTTTTCAATTGCTATAAAACTTATCATCAACGTACGATTACAATGTATCTTTCCAACTACCCTTCAAAAACTGATAATGAAAATAAAATACTACACGTATAATTTTGTAATCCTAAGTTTTCTAAACTAAATTCTTACATTTTTATTTAATATATAGAATATGGCATAGATATTATAAAGTTATAATATAATATTAAATTATAAAGGATGTTATTGTATAATGTATATCATACGGGCAAGGTAAATTTTCCACATGGGTGGTTCTTATATAGATTTTAGGAGATTTTTTATGTATAAGCCCTGCAAATAGGTTTTGAAAAAAAGCTCAATTTTTCAAAATATGTATTTAAATTTATACCTTCTGTTTAAACAACAAGTTCGGTATGAACATTGCAGTTATGGCTCCAAACTATTTTAACCATTTTTTGCTCTACTTAAATGTGTTTTTTTTATGTTAAAAACGATAGTGAAGTCAGATTTTGTACATCAAAATTTAATGAATTAATTTACCATATTTTTATTTTATATTAGAAAGTGCTGATAATGATTCAAATGCCTCTCATAATATTAGAAATGAATCTGCCACAATTCTAGACACTAGAAATTTGGGAGTTAATTCTAGAAAAAGCGTATTGGTGAGTATTGAACTAATGTCAATTATAATTTATTTAAATATATGTTTTAGCTTGACATGTCTTGATTAACCTATTTAAATTAAATATTTTTTAGCGCAATAATGACTGTGATAATTTTGGAGAATTAGACTGTTTATCGACTGAAAAGTAAGTTTAACGTTTTTAATATGCATGTTATAGTAAGTCTTTACATAGTGAATTTATAATTTAAACATTTTTCAATATATTATCCTTACCATACATCAAATAGTAATAGACAGACCACAGTGTATGATTTTTGGCTACTCTGTTTTTGAGCTGTCACAATACTAAACCATGCATTTGTGGATTCCATTCGTTGTGTCGCTCAGCGCTCAATAGTTATATGCTATGGGTTTTCTATTTATGTTTAATCATTGTTTTTAAACTGATAAATCTGTTATATTATTACTGTTATTTTTATTTTTTTATGTATATTAAAACTAATTTTAACTGATCTTTTGCTTTGGTTGCTCTGCATAAAGTTTACTAAATCCTTTCAATACCCAACTGTTTTTTAATATAAATTGGTAGTGTATAACTGGGTACTATTTCAAAATGTTTAATACACACTATAGTATTTCATAATTTGCATTACCTTTTATATTTAACAATTAATTGTTTAATGGTCCGGCTTTTTCCCTTATATCTTTTTAATATTATTTATTCACTAATATATTTTTATGTTGTTTACACATTTGTATGAGAAAATATTATTAATTAATTTTTTCTCTGCAAACCACAACATTTTGCTATTTAAGATTTGAAAACTTCCAATGTTTCATAATATTTTAAGTGAACAAATTATTTGTAATTTAATTTTTCACTTAATCCCTCCCCCCCCCCCAATAATATTAATGATAAAATTTGTATTTTATTCTTATAGAAGATTTGTAGTAGGACATAGGTATGAATGTGGTAAGAGTATTTTAGTGGTTTTATAGTTTACTCTTAATACTTATCCATATTATAAATATTTAATTGATACGACAACTTACAGCTTTTCTATTAGGGTCCGTTGTACAATCTCAAATCTAGCAAATGTATTTAAATAAGTTAAAAGATCCTTTTTTTATCAGATTTTTGTACATTTTTAATTTCTACAGGAGTCTCCTGCAAAACATAGATGAAGAACTTAAATTGAGGTATGATGGATGTTTTTTTGTCATTTTCGCACCAAACAGTTATAAAAACAAAAATAAATAAATTGTAGACTTAACAATTTACTTTCAACTATTTTTTGTGAAAAAAATGAGCACATTTTACAGAATTGTTTGTCGTCTAATAAATAACTGATGCTTACTACACAACTTGGTTGAAGATCGACTAACTTGATTTTACTTTTTTATGTTAATGTAATACAGTTTTAACTGTCAAAGCGTAAAGCTATAGGTAATGCTTTTTTAGCTTAAATAATGAAACATTTTATGGTTTTTGTGTTGTGTTCTTGTATTCATGAACTTTAAGGTTGAAACGGAATCGGTATTACTGCTTAAAGTTTGAATTATCTGCCTCTTGTGCACAAGCAAGCAAATTATAAAAACATATTGTACAGCTGGCCCTTACCACCATTACCTTGCTAATATTTTTGTTTAATATATAAGTTTAATAATTGTTAATTTTTTTTTTAAGAGGAGATTATAATACTGTTTTTAATGAAGATAATAATGAAAGTTACGAAGACTTGTAAGTATTAGCTTCATTAGTTAAGTAAGTTTTGAAAAATAATATATTTAAAAAACAATTATTTAGATCTACTTTACCAATGCCTGATAACACTGATACACCACCTGTTCCTCCTCGCCGAAGAGATCGTAAACGACGTACTTCTCCTCCTAAACCAATTAGCAATGGTTTACCACCCACGCCCAAAGTCCACATGGGTGCATGCTTTTCTAAGGTAATATTAACCCTTTTAATTTAGATTTTAATTTTTGTTTCATAACTGAAATATTTAATTTATTTTGTTATTTTAGTGAATAGCTTTTATCTCCCATATGCACTATACAACTTTATACTACATTAAAAATTAATTAACATATATTTTAGCTTTCTCCAACATTTTTTTTTTATCAGGTGTTTAATGGGTGCCCTTTAAAAATATATTGCACTGCCAGCTGGATTCATCCTGAAACTAGGGACCAACATGTGTTCATTGGAGCTGAAGAAGGCATCTATAACCTTAATTTAAATGAACTGCATGAAACTGCAATTGACCAGCTGTATAATCGACGAACTGTTTGGTTGTATGTTATTAAGGACATTTTAATGTCATTGTCGGGTAAAATTTACAATTGATTATACATTTTTTTCCTTTAGTGGTGTTAACTAAAATATATTTTCTTAGGTAAGACAACTCAACTGTATAGACATGATCTCTTAGCCCTACACGGGAAGCAAAGTCATAGATTTTCACAACACATGACGAAAATCCCTGAACGTTTGATGCCTAGAAGGTTTGCTTTTACTACTAAAGTACCAGATACAAAAGGTTGTATAAAATGTTGTGTTGGCCGTAACCCATATAATGGTTACAAATATTTGTGTGGAGCTATGTCGAGTGGAATATTTTTAATGCAATGGTATGACCCTCTTAACAAATTTATGTTGCTTAAAGTGAGTTAACCCGATTTGAAATTTGATTTCACTTTTCATACATAACTTAATACTAACATAGATATAAATAAATACTTATTTTCAGCATTTTGAGTGTACTTTGCCATCGCCACTTAACATTTTTGAAATGGTTATAACTCCTGAGTTAGAGTATCCCTTAGTTTGCGTGAGCGTAAAAAAGCCAATTGGTCCTATCAGAAAATCGATGAACTTAAAATTAGAATTGATTAATGTCAATACTGGTGCATGTTGGTTTTGTTCTGATGACCAATACGATTCGGATAATACTGGTTAGTGTTATTTGATGCATGATTAGTTTTCAAGTATAATTAAGTGTGGTGTATTTATTTTCACCAACAGGAACGGTTATACAAAGAAGAGACATAATGGATGTAGTTTGTGTATGCCAACTGGACACTGACTCATTTTTGATATGCTACAAAAGTATATAATATTGTTTATTGCATTATAGTTTTTCCTTGTAATTAATAGAAAAAAATTATTTTTGCCTTCTCTATGTTTGCAGATGTTGTTAAAATTATCAACTTACAAGGCAATCTGAAGCAAGATAGAAATCAAATAAACCAATTGTACTTTGACTTCAATGTTGAATCTGTTGGTTAGTAATTCACATTATATTTAATACATTACATTTACATTACTTTTTTTAAATTAGATATTATTAAATCTTAATATACTTATAAATAAAATAATATACAATATATAACATGCATAAGTTATATTGTTCTCTAAAATCCTTTCAGGGGCACACAAGGCTGGGGCTGGGAGCATATGACTGCTTCCTATATTCAGGTTATTTGGCCTTCTGTATATAGTGTAACTTTGTTTGTTGGCCAATTCTATGTTTAATTGTTTTTTCTAGTTAGCCTCTACAACCTTTTCAGAAGCGAAATTAATGGGGTAGGGGAACGGTCAGTGTGTTAAACACTCCTAGTTTTGGAATAAACATCCACTAAATTGTTTGGGTTCCATATAAAAAGTTGGTTAAGTAGGGGGACATTATAATATTATAAGTTTAAAGCACACATTATTTTTTTAGCGATAACACCCCTGATTCTTATAATTTGTTCATGACTGAATTTTTTTTTTCAATTTGTATTGTAGTACAAAATTTTGTTTTTCAGTGCGTTTGTCTGATAGCATATTGGCATTTCATAAGTATGGAGTTCAAGGTCGTAGCCTTAAAAATGGTGAAGTTACTCAGGAAATCGTAGATAAAAGCAGAACATACAAACTTTTAGGATCCGATAAGTATGTATATCATAATTCAAAACTTGTAAATAGCTTACATTTTTTAAAATAATTAATATTTTAAAACAAAACTAATAAAAATATTGAATTACTTAGTTATCACTTATCATAGTAAATAAATTACACACTTATCAACTCATTTTTAATATTTGTTAAGCGTTAAATATATGCATTGCTTGCAATTTAATAGCACATAATAATATCTGTTCAAAATATGTATGTATATTATTTTAACATATATTTTTAGAATTTTAATTTTGGAATCTCACATGGTTTCCAAAAAAACAGATGACAGTGCGGACTTGTACATTCTTGCTGGACACGAAGCCAGTTATTAAACTTATATACAACAAACTATAATATTTTCACATGTAGTATATTGTAGTTTTTTAATTAATACAACAAAAATTCATCTTGATGATAATAATATTAATGATAACATTAGTGTTATGGTTTTATTTCGCGTCAAATGAAGTGGAACAATATCAAACATATAAATAATTATTAACTAATTTGAACTCTTTTCTTGAAGGGTTTGACAAATATTCCATTAGGCATAAGAATAGCTTAATATTTACTTTTTCCTTAAATTGACATTCGAATACTAATTTTAATACTATTACAAATTATTGTGTATATGTTTTATGCTGTTATATTGTACACATAAATAATTCGTTTAATCTATGAAAACAGTTAATTAAGGTTGTGGTCAAAATAAAGTTTATACATATTAGTATTTATATATTCTCATATTATATTATTATTTTAAACAAAATGTGTATATGCAACCGAGCCATAATAAAATGATAGTTGTGCTTATTGTAAGAATTTTAATAATTTTCTTTAATATATTTTTTTAAATGTAGAATTGCAAAACCATTAGTACATTTATATTTATGGGAATTGTTTAATTTTAAAATCTTCACGGTTAATTTTATGATTTATTATTTAAATTATAAACATATATTTTAATATACTTGTATATTTATGTAGTTTAAATTTTCGGTAAAACAAATATCACTGTTAAAAAAATTAAAGTATTTTTTTTATTTTATAGTACAAAATACTAATAATATAAATAATAATACAAATGAGTGTAACTAGATTTTACTAGATTTACGGAAATTGTTATATTATTAATTATTATGTAAATTAGAGTAGTATATACCACCTGTTCTGAATTTTTGTATGTACTTTGTTGGTTTCCAACATATTTTGATACAACTTATTTGGTAGATTTGATAGCATTTTTATCTCTACATAATATAATTTTCTATCATTTTGTCGAACAAGTCGTTAAAAAAATAAAACCAAGGATTTGTAGTGTTAGTTCAATATAAAATTTTAATTTATTTAATAATTAATAAAGTTACAAAATGTTTTATAATTTTGGCAAAGTTCTTATAGAGCTATCGATAAACTATAGAAACCTCATTGGATTGACTATTTTGAACGTACCTGATAAATTTTTTTATAAAATAAGATTACAATTAATTTTTTTTTTCAGGCACAAAACTGAAACTATTTAAGCTAAACTTAAAACCAAATGACTTATATGAATATAATGAATTATATTATTTTTAGTGTATAATACTATAATTATAAGGGGAAAAAACGAAATACATATATGGATTTTTTTGGGAAAATAAAAATATAGATCAGAACAAGCAGTATATACATACTACTTCTAATAGTCTATATTAGACAAAGCGAATGACATTAATGTATATTTTTATTATCAATTTCAATGACTTAATTTTAATGTGTATATATATAAATATACATTTATAAATATTCACTATGATTAATTAGATTGTATTTATATTGTTTTATGAATATGATCGATTGTTACCAATTTTATTATTGTTGTTATGAACTGTTAAATAAAGTAAACACCTGTAAGTTCACAATGTTTACTTTTATAATTACTACTAATAAATGCTCATATCATTATGTATATTACATTATATATAATTATGTTTATTTTATGTATGCAATGCGATAGGGCCGATACGTTTTAAATACAATTTTATTCATTTTACTGAATTATTTATAATGCTGTAACAAGTTTCTCGGATTTGTGAGATTTAGTGTATTCACTATTTTGTTATATCTAATTGATTAGTTGGCATATGAAAATAGTTCTATCTACACTAAATTATGGTAAAAGTCCCTTTCTCTCTAATCTATTAACTTTCTGTAAAACAATAACAAATAATATAAATTTGGACTCACAAGATTATTTGTATCGAATTTCTGGTGTTCTTTAAGTATTATACACGGTACAGTTTTAGAATAACTAAATTAATCAGGCAATATGTACAGAAATATAAACACCAATATTTTTTTTAATTTTTGTTACCAAATCAATAAATGACATAAGAGTAATTAATTAAAATCGTTTAATTTAACTATTAGATTTTTATCAAAAAATAGTAAAGTAACCGTTATTTATAGTATACGGTTATTGTTTTTTTATTCTCGAGTGTTTATGTTTTGTTTTGCAAGAACTAATATTTTAAACAATAAATTTTCTAACATTGGAGTTATTAGTATTTTTTGGACCGTATTATGTATTATATTCATGCATAAGTGACCGTTTCTTGGAATCGCTTTCGTTGCCCTACTGCAATGTTATAATACACAAAAGGCCAAAGCAAAAATCAATTCGATCAAACGAAACAAAATATAAGAACAATAAATACTAGCAATGCGATAAAAAAAAAAAATCTTTCTGGACAAATTTAGTTCTTCTTGATCCAAAAAAGACATAAAAAATATCGAAGGCCAACTGGGACATAGCAATATAAATAATAATATTATTATACAATTGTCTTCGCTCAACGATAACGACCTATTGCCATTTTACCAGACTCGTTTCCAAACCATTAAATATGAACCCTTCCGATATAATACGAAATAACGGTTTTCGATCAATCTCCAAACACAAATCATATATGTCAATAACTCCACTAACTACTGGGCTACCGACAAAATACATACCGAATATGTCATAGATCTTCATAAATGTACTATATATATATATAAAGATTATTATAACATTATTAATTGTGAAATGTGAAGTTAAATGAAAAAAGAAATATTACTCTACAGTAACGAATATATATCCTAGACTGAGTCTAAAAAAAAATTGTTTTTATACCCCCCCTCCCCCCCAAAAAAGATATAAGAGTAGGCATATTCAAATAAAATATTCCTAAAAATTCAAATCCGTAGCTTAACTCTTAAGTATATTTAAAATGACTTTTATTTGGTGATTAATAGGACTTTTTAAGTGGACTGGCAGTGTTGGCTAACCATGAAACATCCAAACAGATAGATGTCAAGTATGAGGTTAATAAATTGGTCAAAAATATATTTTGTGTAGAAAAAAAAAGTATTTTTTAAAACTATATTGAAAAACGTACCTATCAACTCAAAAATGCAAGGGTAGTGTGGAGGCTCACATCCACAGGTTTGTTTTTACATAATGATGCATCCTGCTCCAGAGAATAATTTTGTATACGCCTCTAGAGAAAGCAGAAAGCTAAGGGGCAAAAGTCTCCTCCTCATTGAATTGTGTTATATAATAATACATTGATTAAAAAGTGTGCATATTTAATACATTTATAATATAATGTGAATAGTTGAGCTGTTTTTTTTTAGTTTGGCATGGTTTACATTTTTTTTAATTGTTAAAAATTGTATTTTTTCTAAAACAACTTTTTTTAATTTGAAATTAGCCGCAGTATACATATTAAATCAAAAAATATATATTGTGTACTCTTAATTAAGGTCGATTGATCTAGGTAGTCTTGACCTAACTTAAGTTAGACTCCCCCTCCCTATTATTCTGACTATATCACTAAAATTGTATTTCTTTTATCCATCTAAAGTTCAAAATCATGTGGTCAAAATGTCTATTTGGGTTTTTGTTTTACTGCGCGTACACTACGGTAAAGCTTAGTGAGAAGAATCGTCTTGTCGTCAGTTTGTAAAAAAATAAACGCATTTTATTAATAATCTAAAATGGTAATAGGTGTTTTTTATCAAGCTTTACCGCATGCGCACTCTAATGATAATACTTTAATAATATTCAGTGCACTTTAAAATGAGTTTTGTTTATCACGAATAAATTAATTTTACAGCACGTGACATACAATTCGATTTTGTTTGTAAATGTAATGAAAAATGTTTGTACTGCATTTACAAAAATATTTGTAATAATACTAATTTTTATAGTAACGCGTCATGTTTATTGATCATATAGGTAACCAAAGAACTTTAAAAAATAAATAGTTGATTTATTATTCGAGTTACCGCTTTATACCATAATATACTATAAGATTTGGTGTAGAGTGTAGATCAACAACGTTTATATTTTTATTTCATCTTGGAATACCTCAATTCGATTTTTTTTTATGAAATACAGGATATAACAGTCTCAATTACGAATATAATACAGTTTAAAAAATACAAACAGTCGGTAAAAAATGTAAACGTACACTAGGTAGGTATTTAAGTATTAAACATAATATTAGTTGGTCCAACTATGTATGTTTTTTTCCGTGTATAGATTATACATTTGAAATTGTACACCAAGAGATCTAATTTTTTAAAAAAAATAACCTCTTTCACTGCAAAGTCGAGAAAAAAGCCTAAAATCGAATAGCGTATACCTACTTGAAATAGTCGAATAGTCGGAACGGTTTAAATTTGTTCTTATTCTCCCTTTTTTAGACTTCAATTTATGGCTAAAGGTTTAAAAAAAAATGCAGATCTAGTGGGCAATTGTTTAATAAATAATTTAATCAATTTAAAAATTGGTGACTTACAGTTTTTTTTTAATAAAAAACCATAAATAAAGGAAAACATTTCGGTAATACATTTTGACCGTATTATATTTCAAACGATCAAATGATTCGCTGTAATTTAAAATTAATACAAACAATTGACTGAAAAATGTTTTATTTGTTGTTTCTCTGAAATGTTATGAGTGTCAACTGTCAGATATAACTATCATCTATTTGTTTAACGACGCCTATTTTAGGTACAATAAAGTAAAAAATTCACATGAAACAAATTTATATTGAAATCCTAAATTATATTGTTAATGACAGTAAAGATAAAAAAATGGTATAGAGCCTGCTTAAAACTCTAGGGTGTTTATTTGTATACTGCATACGATTAACAAAATAGTTAGAGATTGATGATTATCCTCTACAAAAGGTCGCATACATATCAATACACAGGATGATTTATTAAATCACAAAGAAACACTTTAATTTTCTTAATAATTAATTGCAATTTTGTAGTTTTTCTTTTTTAAAACATTTTTGATTTTGTTATTTTACAATATTATAAAGTTACTAAGTATTTACCTTTTTATTATACTTCAAAACTCTACTTTTGATACTTAAATGGTAAAATTTTACTGGTCGGAATATATTTTTGAATAATTACTTTTAAAGTAATTAATGATTAAAATTTAAGACAGAAGGTATGTATTTTTATTTTTATCGGAGCGAACTTCAAACTCTAATAGCATTATAAACAAGATTGTGAACGTTATAATAATTATCAAAAACTGGTTATCGACCAGTCAACATTTTAGGTACATTATTCTTAATTTAAAAAGTTAATGAAATGTATTCGTTGCCATTTAAGTTTCAATAGTTGCTATCAAAAAAACTTTTGTTGGGAGGGGGGTTAAAACAAAACAAAATTGTAAAATATTATTTATTTTTTTATTTATATTACAAAACAGGCCGAGGCCCAAAGTACAATTTTTGTAGACACAGAAATACATATATAATTATT